TGCAGGAAGCTTTAACTTCAAGTTCAAATGGTGACTTGTCAAACTGTTACATATGTAAAATATATAACTATTTGGCAGTTCGACAAGGGCTACAGGACTAGTGCTAATTTCTAACGCTGATAACAAAGAGAAGGATTTTTTGATAAATGTTATTATAGGTTTTTGACCTATATATTGAAAAATCCTTTTTTTCATCTATATGTTATGTTCAAAATACCTATATTGGCACTCCTTCACCCTATAAATGTATCACTGAAAAGTTTGTGACCTTAACCACTTGTACAAACTAACGAAGCCCAAGTTAAGTAAAATCCTGTTTGTTCTAGTAAACTCAGCTAATGTATCATACTATGTCCATATGCTAACACTGAAATAGACAAAAAAATGATACTGAGACAGAGCTCCAGATAAGCTTTTGGTGTTGTGGGTATTTTACCCATGCATTCTAAAATCATTGGGTATCAGTAATTCTATCTGGGTATTCAAATTTCTGTTACCCACTAGTTTTTACACATGTGGGTATTTAAGTTAAATATTTAAAAACACTATTCATCTAGTCCCTGCAAACTGGTGTCGTGTGGTTCGAGAGCTTTATAGGACTAAAAAATGCCACGATACTTCCACAAGAAAGTGTAATGGCAAATGATCATGATGTAACTGTCATCGTGGAGTTTGGCAAGGTTGACGGAAGGCCCCTTTATAATTTCAAAATAAGTTGCTGATTTGCTAATCGAATACGCAGTGTTACTTCACAATATTTTGATGATAGGCTCAAGTTTTATTTATGTAGCGTATCTGTAATGTTCGTTGCGTATTTGATACGCTTGGATTTTATTTTACTGCATATTTCTGATGCATATTTTACGCAGATACGCAGCTTATCTGGAGCTCTGTGAGAGCCAAGTTAGTAGACTCAAAAGCTTTTGGCACAGCCTGCTGAGTCAAGATGACCTTAGGTATGTTGTAATCTGATAAAAGTCAGTTTATCATGGTATATTATACTATATTAGTATATACCAAGTCAATGAGGACAACAAATATATGTGTCACATTTTCATGTTAGGGTCACCTGCTTTCACGGTTTAGTGTTTATGTGACAACTCTGTCTTATGATGCTCAATTTTATTTTGTCAGCATTGATTGTTATTAAAAAATATCCCGTGGTAAGAATGGTTTAGAATGCAAACACTATGAATTGTGTCCTACATAAAAGAAAAGAGAAGGCTAATGTGCAGTGTCAAATAATGTGAGGATGTAAGCTGGCCTGCATCTTCCCGAGGCAAGAGAGTTAACTGACTTTAAAAGTCCAGTTTCCACCCTTGCCGAACTAGGCTGGAATTCCTGGGCTCGATCGTAGCGCCACCAGTGGCTATTTCGAGTTATGTCCTTTCTATGCCTCTCCTATTGACCAATCAGATTCAACCTCTCGTATTACTTGCATTTGCTTCAAACAAAACGGTGGCGCCCAGTCAAGACGATCTTATTGATAATCAAGATATATTTGATAAATATGAGTCTTACATCGCGAAGTGCATCAAATCACGTGAGCACCTTGATTAAAAGCATGAAAAGATTTATAAAATATCTGTTGACAACGAGTTAGCGGTGCACATGCTTTGCAAATCCTGCAGTCGCCCGAAATCTGCATGACACTTTACGAACCGGATTTCGATTTCAGTGCACGATTTTGATTGGATTATGCATAGACTCGTTAGTCCAGCCAAAATGTAACTCCATAATACCAGCCTAGTTCGGCAAGTGTGGAAACTGGACTTTTATAGTCAGTTAACTCACTTGCCTTGGGAAGATGGCTGGCCTGTTCACTCAGTGATGTTTTATTTCTCCTCATGGGTTACTTGCGATTTCTGTTGTACTTTTTATGCTTTTAGCTAAAAATGTTTGAAGTAGACTGTATATTTCCTTTGGTAGTATACTGTATATTTCTTTTGGTGTGCATTTGCTACATGTTTTTACACCTTTTGTACTGTTTGAATATCAATAACTTGAGTATTATTTGTACCAAAGAAATTTGATTATTTTTTATCATGATCTTAACTGTATAAAATATGGAACTTGTATGGATTGGCAAGTTGCTTTCGGTTTGCGTTTGTTTGGATTTTGAGGGTCACATAGTTTAGGAGCTCACAATGCCTAGTTTCTACATATACACCATGTTTTGAGCACATATGAGAAAGGAATTCTGAACTTTAAGTGATCATTTGGCTGTTACTTATAATATGTCACTGTAATAGAACAGAATATACTCTAACTGTTATTGCACCTAACTGTTCACTACTATTTAAGCACTACTATTTGAGTATGTGACTGATGTGACTGATAATGCTTGCTTAATCCTATACTGTATAGGGGCGGTCGGGTAGCCTAGTGGTTAAAGCGTTCGCTCGTCATGGCGAAGACCCGGGTTCGATTCCCGACATGGGTACAATGTGTGAAGCCCATTTCTGGTGTCCCCCGCCGTGATATTGCTGGAATATTGCTAAAAGCGGCGTTAAACGTCACTCACTCACTCACCTATACTGTATAAGGCTTTTGCATTGGTAATATTGATTATGAATTGTATCACTGAACATGACGGATGTCACCGAGTACATCCAATCTCTTAGTCCAGTCAGCCTGGCTTCATGAAGGCCATATTCAAACACATTTCCATTAGCTGGTTTCATTGAAATTCAATTTTGTATTGTGCTGGCTTTATATGCATAATGCTACATGTGGATATCAGTAGTTTTGGACTGATTTTCCTCACTTTAGGGTTCACTCTTGTCCATGTGGGATAGACACGGTTTGGTCTGACTCTCCTCATATTAAAGTTTTTTCTTTAGACTCATACATGTGGGATAAACGATCAAGTCCTTCAGTTTTCATTCCCATTCCTGGAATTCTTATTTTTATGACTGTTTGTGATATCATTACTGATCATTACATACAGTGTTGTGTGTTAGAACTATGTATGTCAGTCGTTACATCAATAAACTGTATCTGTTGTAGTTGTGGGAAATTGATATCTTAGTTACTTCCAGAATTGGAAACCACTTGCAGATAACAATAAACTTTATATGATGATATATCAACAGTAATGTGATGTGAGGTGGGTCTATTGCCATATAGCCTAATGTTGTCTTTTGTCCATTTAAAGCTGTTTTATATGTCAAAAATATGTACATTTATCATCTATTGTATATTTAATTTAACATACCACCTTTGGGGAAAAAGAGTATAAAAATAAATTGATTAACTGAATCATTTTATTTATTATTAAACATTTATAGTAAGCTCCAGTTATTGACTTGAATTGTCCCGCTATCTTCCCAAACTTATGTCATCGAAATTTGTGAAGTTCATTCCATATTTTTTTAAGTTTTAATCAACTGATGTAATACATTTTCTTTAAAAGTATGTAAGTAAAGACCTTGGACATGTTAATTGGTAAATTAAATCCTTCTAAATTACCATGATTACTGGCGCTTTCTATATTTGGTGTTCTCATTCTAAACACTTGAAGTTTTGGCCTCTTCTGGTTCATGCATTTCGGGTAGTTATGCCACTTTGAAATTATGATCTAATTCGATATCAGTTTCAGAAATAACATACTCAACGTAAGTTGAAGTTTTAGACCCAGCAAGTTTAAAGAAATATTATAATGTCATTTTAATGATTCCATAGACATTTATTTCGGTTGTATTTGTCATAATTACAATACAGCAATATTGTCTCTGCCTCTACCATGTCTACACATCATAATTATTCTTTTAATTAATGAAATAGATTAAGGAAACAAAGATAAGAATTTGTAGAAATTAATTATCTTACTGCCAAAATTGCAGTGAGCACAATATATTGTGTAACTGTCATCAAGCATGTGAAATGTTATAATTGACTTGTATTTCTTTCTGTTTTAAACAACTTCTTCATTACTGATGGCTAGGTTTGGACATCAAACACCCTACAACCATGCCCCCAACCCTAACCAGTTACAATGGCGTTACAAGGCTAAAACAATTCCTGCGTGCTAGTACAAATTTACCAGTTGTTTTAACATTATAAGGGCATTTTATCTTTACCCGGGGTAGTACAGAGCTACAGATAAGCAACGTATTTGCGTAAAATCCGCCCCCCCCCAAAAAAATATATTCAAAACCCAATTACTTTCAATTAACTTGCGTACAGAATTGCATGCAATAAATGAAAAAATCAAATGCTTAAAAACAGCTCGCGTTAATACCCAATGAAGCTTTTCCAGCATGCGTACAAAGATCCTAACTTACGAAGCACAATTGCGAGCTAATTTACTTTCTGAGTCAAGCCTATATATTTCGAACAGTTATATATACATCTCAAACATTACTTCATTTATTTTAAATCATTAAATGTTCACTAATTTTAGGAAGAAAAAACATTAGAGTGTTGAATAGATGAGTGGAAAAAATATTGGTTACCCAATGAAAAATGTAATAACCCAATTAAAATAGAAACCCTAGAGTAAAAACTCAATTGCTCAGAAAGATGTCTGGAGCTCTGGTGTAAAACTTTTTAGTTCAGTTCTAACCCTGCAGTGTAACCCTATTTGTATGTGGGATGAGAGTTTGGGGTAAAAGCTCCACACAATAAAAGCATCAAGATGCCAGTTTGTGCCTTCAAGTAATATCCTTTTTCTGTTAGTATGTGGTGAGGTTCACACTCTAGTTATCACATATTTTTTGTGCTGTCATGTGTGCTAAAATGGCTAATGTAGGCTTGTCCAAGGTCTGACTGTACAAACGTTGTCATCAAGTTCCGAGTTACCCACATGCCTGGCATTGTTAGCTACTCACCTGCGTAGGCAATCAACCCATTGATCTCCCCATTTCACCTACCCTGTCAGTTGACTCCACCACCTGTGACAGTCTGATTGAGATTGGACCAGTCTACTGGCTAGGAAAGGGGTAATAGTCTGTTGTGAGGTGTGTTCTGGATGACCTAGTTGTGAGTCTGTCAACACTGTAGCATCAAGACCGGTCATGCGCAGTGAGCACATGTTCCTCCATAGGTAACAGTGAAGCGAGAATTGAATACAGGTGTACACTGGATACTGAATCACTGACTGACCCCACTCAGTTCATTGTTTTTACGCTCCACGGACCACACAGGTCAGGACGTGATGTAATAGAAAGCCAGACACACCGCTGGGGAGTGCCACACCCACCGGACTGCATGGTCACTGTAGTTTAGTTTCACTGTACCTATTGGACCATTCAGCATGGCTACCGCAGACAACGGTGTCTACCTGCAGAACTTCTCACGGTTTAATGACCCTGCACAGGGGAGATGTGAGTTTTACCACATTAATTACCAGCAGTAATCACGGTTAATGACACAAGAATGTCAATTCAATTTGTCATCCTTGTCATAGCGCTCGGGTGATTGATATTAATATATTTAAAATAGAATGTTTTTAGCTTCCTTAAACGTGGGCCTCTTGCTTTGGGTGAGGAATATTTTTCTTGATGTCATTTTCTGACACAATGTTTAGATGAGGAAGAGGTTGAGATGCCGCCCTGATGTATAGCTTTGTTATTGTGTAAACATTCCTTGTTGACCCCACACTCTATTATGTGAAAGTATGTCAAATTTGTTTGACATTATTATGCTAGCAAAAGTTCTACAGCTCTACGTCCGCATAAGCTTTTGAATTGTATACAGTAAGACGTTGGGTTGGGTTAGATAATACTCAAAGAAACAGATTCCTTTAATAGGCATTGAATGAAATTAACTACATAATAACAGCATACAATTTCACAATGGCAAGACTAATCTGAGCCTAATCCATTAGGCCTTCTTGTTTTTTTAATTAACTTTTAAATAAACAAACTTTTTTTTTGTTATAACAATGTTAAATATACTGTTATATGCTCCACATAAGGGCTGTATCAGCATACATATGGCTAGAAAGATTACAGATACGACTGCAGTTAATCTAGAAAGTGTACCAAGTCTGTCATGAAAGAGTAAATACGCCCTACCTTTTACTTTAGGCCGTATCTTTCACATTTTAAAAATGACTATGTACATCTGCGATCATTTTACACTGGTGAGGTGTTTTGGGGGATTCCCTCACATTGTCAATTGAGAAAATCTGAATGCTGGGCCAATCTTTAAGCAGCTATTGTACTTTTTATATTTCATTGGCTAATATTCTTCGTCGATAACTCTCGCCTCATGTTGTGACCAAGCTGTTAATCTAATCGTTTCTGACGAAAATGTTGAAACAACAGTCAATTAAGAATTTTTTTGCAAAACTCCAACAACAAAGTCTTCGTCGTTGTTATCTACCATAACAGATATAGTTGTGGGGTTCATAAATGAGAGTTATACCCATTGTTGGAAATATTTTGTGATGAAACAAATTCCAATAATCTTGTCTGAAAATTATGTAGGTCGGAAAATCATGACTAAATTTTTAGCTTTATGAAATGTTATGTACTCAAAATATGTCAGTACTCCGCCATCACAGATTGATTAAAGGACTACATGCTCCTGAAGTATAAAATTATCTGGAGGACTGTGTTACATTCAGCTTAAATAAATTAGGCAATTGAATTATTATTAAGATACCAGGTAACTGAAAGTCAGTTTTTTTTTTTATTCCCATTATCCTGTGTCCTCAGGCGAATGTCTTAATACTTCTAAATCAAGGGAACCTTAGCATAATCCTAATGTTAAAAGCTGAAGACAACATAGATTGAAATACATGTACTATCAAACAAGACAGGATCGTGCTATGAGCAGATTATGACTGTTCCATGTAACATCTGAATGAGTAAATACCTTTGTTATTCAGAAGGACAAAATATGTTGCTTTCCCAGAAATTTCCAGTCTCATTGAATCATACCTTAGTTCTTGTTACTGCTACACAAGATCTATATAATATTCTATACAAGATCGACAAAATATGTTGCTTTCCCAGAAATTTCCAGTCTCATTAAAATCAGACACGGGTGGCCCTGTTATCTAAGGTACAGCAGTTCACTGAGTTCCATCCATTTGGCATGCCAGAAAAGTATGATTGTTGGTTCGAATCCCCGAGATTTGACCAAGCAATGAAGAGACTTGACAGAAAGTCAACATAAGCCACGGCTGAACGGACATTCATCCGACCAATCAAAGCGTTGCTTACATCAATGCAAAAGTGAAAGTCCAAATGTGTTTTCCAACCATGCAACCTCAGAAAACAGCTTTCACAAGTTTTTAGGTGCTAGTCTCAAAATGATGACTTTCATTCCAGAGTACTCTTTGAACAATATTTTGAAAAAATTCTTGATTCATTCGAAATTTCACAAAGAAAAATCTGGAATGTCATATATCGATGGCTGAGATGTTATGTCAGTACTTCTTACGAACTAGGGAAGGTGTTTTTGTTGTAAATGTGTACCCAATTGAAGATAGAGATAGATGATGCATATTAGGAATGCTGTGTGTTAAATTTTCAAGGTTGCTTGGTTGGGAAACACATTCAGACTTTCACTTTCGCAATCACGTAAGCGACACATTGATTGGTTAGATGAAAGGTCGTTCAGATGTGACCTGGAATGAGGTGTCCTCAGATCTTTGTGTCGCTGTTGTGAGCACTAAGATCTGATTTGAATGAGACTACCAAAATTTCTTGACTCAAGGTTTAGATAACACACAGACTGACAGTGGCAGTTAAAAGATTTGAAGAAATCACAAAGTGAACAAAAACACATGGTTGGTTCCATGTTTGGTGTCTGAAATCTGGTTCAGTCAGTGCCCTCATTAAACATAAACAAACTGAATGATGAACAAAGTAAAACTCAACTATGTCAACTGAAAACGTTTGATCAAACTTTTGATTACCGTATTCGACGTAATAAGCGCCCCGCTCTAATAAGCGCCCACGGCGATATTTGCTAATATATTGGCTAGTGAACAATCCCAATCAGCACCCCTTCCGATTGATCAATGTACACAAGACTTATTTATTCGTGTATAATACGCACTCGTGTATTATATCACCCTTAATTATGGGCAATTAAATTCTTGAAAAATATATCTGTCGTTTGAAACATTTCAGGCTGTTAGCATAAACCACAAAATTTACGATCTTTCAACTCAAAATAATATTCTAATAAGCGCCCCCTATTTCTAATTTTGAGAGCGCCCTGGGCGCTAATTACGTTGAATACGGTATTTGCCACACATCAATGATTTTAGGATGACAGTAGATAACACTGACCATCTTGACACTGTGTTGACTGTTGAGACTATTTATTGGAGACTTTCATCATGTTGAATCAAACCGGAAAGATAACAGTTTGGGAAGTTTAAGATACTCATCTTTTTATTAAACTCTCATTAAAATATTATTATTGTGTTTTTCACCATTGTTATGATGAGACTTGCATTATGTTTTGTTCTCTGCAGTATCATTGAATACATTTTGTGGAACTTGAATGCTTATTAACAAGGAACATTGCATTGCAGTTTCTGCTTTGGGATCAGATGGTATGACACCAGACGATGATGACCATGATGACGCAGATGGCCAGTCTGCGGACCCAACACGACAGAGGCCCAAGGTACAGTATACTTTATATCACATTTGAGGGAATAAAGTGCAAATTTCAGATTAGGGGATCAGCCTTTGACCCTTTGGAAAGTTTTACAAATGTTTCTCTTTAAAAAAGAAGATAATTCTTCCATCAAACGAAAAAAGTGGTATTAAGATGGTTTATTTATGTGCTTCTATAAAGCCAGTGTTAGATTTCCTGTGCACTTGGATATTAGAACCCTAGGTACTTGATCCTTGGCCAGTCATCTGTCAAGCTTCTTTCATTGAAGGAAAATGGAGAGAAAAAAATCATAGAGATTTTTCAATGTTCATTTTCTGATAATGAGACCCAAATACAAACAAAGATCAGGTGAGCTTCAGAACCTTATGTCTTATGATTTAAAGACTGGATCACATAACTTTGGTAGTATTTACTTCTTTTGATTTAAACCATACAGAACACTTCCTTGTGGTGTTTTTTACAACTGTGCGGCCCAGTGGTCTAGGAATGCTACAGATTCACCCTGACTGTTTCTAGGTTTGGCTGAACACCAGTCTGCGCTCGTGGGTTTCATTTCACCAAAACGTAAACGTTTAAGACCTGCATCATTTTTGGCTTTCCTCCCACGTTGAGCTGACACGTCACGATGTAACTACAATAGTGTTCTAAGCAATGTTAAACATCGCTCACTCATTGTTGAGTCATTTGTCATCTGGTCATTGGTTGACATGTATATTGTGAGGTCATGCCTATGTGAATAATTATTCAATGTTATAAGTACACACTTACATTTGTGTGAACTGCAGAGTATCGATTAATGTCTTTCAACATGAAGCAGTTCAAAGTGGTTCATGGCATTTAGGTGTATGTCTGGTGTCCATCATTGATTCAATACAGAATCTATGTCTTGGACAAGCAGCCCTGTAGACTTTAAGTTGCGTTGTTAAGTATGAGGGTATTTAGTGAAGAATTTTGATTGTCCAGTTTTCCAGTGTGGAAAGTCTTCCATCTGATGGTTCAAGCGTAAGTCCATGCTAATTAACTGTACCAGTCTGCGATTTTAGCTACTAGTCTGAAGCCTGAGTCTAGTAAAATCTCTTTGCTCTTTTAAACTCAGCTAATTAGATATAACAACACTATATTCCACTGATAAAGATGCTAAGAGCCATGTTTGGGCTAGTTGTCACAAGGTTTTGGCACAGACTGTAGTACCAGAAACCTTTTCAAATTATTTTTCTCAGATTGATTTATGTACCCAGGTACTGCAACTGTGCAGCTGAGGTTTTCCTTTGATATGAACTGTAGTTGAGTTACATGTTCTTGCACATAGTGATCACTGATAAGGATTTCTGTACTGCTTTCGTAGCCAATTGAATCCCCTAGCAGTATATAGTGAAAATGATTTATTGTAACCTTTGCTTGAATGCCCTAGCAGCCTGTAACTATAGCTATTAGTTTGAAACCCAGTATAGTAAAATTCATTTTGCTCTAGCAAGCTTGGCATATTAGAGACAAAATGATGCAATGCAGTAAACCTGGTAAATGTTTCTGATTGTACAATATGATTGTAAAAGATTTTGGAAATGATGCATCGATGCCCAGCAGACAATCCCTAGACAGTTCCTGTGTTGGGTCTGAATTAGTGTAGACAAATACCTATCGTCACCTATGTTTGCTGTTTTTTTTCACAGAAATACCTGGAAGTAAGTAGTATTCTTCCTGGGGAATTGGTCTGTGGCCTTGCGTGTGGTTGCCCTCTCATAATGAGAACAGTTTGAATGTAATAGGTAGCATGTGCTGTGTCATAATGACTAATGAGATGCAACTTGCATTAAGCTCCAATTTGTGTTTTAGGCATACTGAGACCGTTTGACAGTATTTGTACTGTGACAGTAATGCTTAGTCCAGCATGTCTCAGGACATGTCACTTAGTACACAATTGATATCTTACTTCAGTTGAGTGCAGAAAGAAAAATAGGGCTTCACTTTGTCATGTTTACCTGCCTTATACATATTCCATGCAATGTATTATCACATGTTGATGTGTAAGTAGATACATTGCTGATCTAAGTATATGAGGTCACAGGTTCCTGAGAGATAATCAGCTGGTAATGAATCTGCCCTATGTCTATAAACTTGTTATAAAAGTCAATCGTCCTGATGACCAGTTAGACGTGTCACTAAACACAACAGGTGCTGTGAATTCAGTTGGTTTCATAAACACAAAGGGAACCTAACCAAGATGGCACAGAATATATTTAGCATGTATACCTACTTTATGATCACCTGATCAAATGTTACTTAGACTTGCACACCATTTTCTATCACATAATGTTACGTTGACTTGCATGTGACATTTTTTACTTATCTTTGAAAGTTGTCATGACATGGAATTATTTTTGTCAAACCTCTAATTTAAGAAGTTACAATCCCCTGTACACAATGTAGTTTCAAAATATGTGACAGGTATTAGTAGTTCAGCGTTAGAAATTAGCACTAGTCCTGTAGTCCTTGCCAAACTGCCCAATGGTAAAAGTATCATAAGGACTAGTAGAAATTTGCCTTTTCCAAGGGTTTTGCTATATGTTATCATTATAAGGACTAGTGGACGAAAACTGTTTGTTTCTAACACTGTAGTTTTGGCTGCCTGGGCCAAGACAAAACACTCCTGATCAAGTGAGACTGTTGAGTGCAGAGTAAACAATAGAGCTCCACATTTACAGCTATATAAATACATATTTTATGGGTCCTCATCTTTCATGAGAAATGTAAGTCAACACAACACTGTTCTACATATACAGTGTTATTTCATGATATGCCATACATGAAGTTTAATGTGACTAATCTGCCCGGGCTACGTTGGACTGCACACGTTATGTTGTATGATTGAGTTAATGTTGGCAGTAGAAGGGGAAAATGGCTTCACTTTAACCACTAGGTATGTCTTTTACAATTATGTATCATGATATTTGTGAGATTGTTAATATGACATTGGCTGCCCGGCCAAGGGCACTGTTTATTTGCACTTTGGTTATATTGAGAGAAAAACCTTATGTTAACCACCATGTTTGCTTCTTAGGTGATGTGTTATCAGATTCTTATTTTATAGTGTGTAATGCAGGTATAGCTGTTTCATAAGCTCCAAAGGCTAGAATATGAGCCTCAAAACTAGCCTCTGATTAATGGTTTTGTTTGGTTGAAAATGGTAATGTGTGTTTTCTACTTATTTGAAAGTGACATGTTTGATTCACAGATAACTGTATTTCATAATAGTAAAATTATTTGCAGAAACATTATGTTTTTCTGTGAGACTGAATAGCTATACTAGCCATTTAGTTTTACCACATTCTAATGTTTAATCAGTTATTTTGTTAAAATACTACCTGCTTTTATTCGAAAAAACTTCATACACATTATAATACAATAAATAAGGATACTCTCTGTGCCTGTGTGTCAACGTCAGTCATACAACAGCACTCAGTGAATGTAAGTCCTCATGTGCATCATGAATTAGAGTGTTATAACACCTAACACATATTAATAATGTTTCCATTGGTACCAAGCTGGACAACCGCCTTATAGCTTTATAAATGTTCTGTGATTTGATCCAATATTAATTAGACCTTTATTCTGTATGACTTCAATGTTTGGAACTGTTAGGACTCTGGGTGTAAATGTCTCTTTGGACATGATGTGGAAGAAGTGTTAGAAATTGGCACTAGTCCTGAAGTCCTTGCCAAACTGCCCAATAGTTAAGGTATCGTAAGGACATTTTTGAAGGGTTTTCCTCTATTATCATTATAAGGACCAGTGGACTAAAAATGTTAGTTTCTACCGCTGTGGAAGTATGTCATTATTCATAGTGGTGTAGCCTTGATCTTCAGCAATCCATGCTTTTCGTAAGAGGCGACTATGACATCAGAAGCAACTTACAGAATTGAGTGGTGAGAATGGTACCAGAAAACCATTCATTGATAGTGGTGAGCTACAGATTGTCTGACCTCAGTTTTTTTTACACTCCGATATATTTTTTATAATGACTTATTATGTCAATATAATGTTTTTGCTATTAGTAAGGATTAGTTTGGTAAGTTGCAAGCTCAGAGAATGGCAATGGCTTAATTTTTTACCATCAGTATGCAATCATATATGATTTGCTCATGCAGTAGGATTAGCTATGGGATCGTTAGGTTTATGTTGATTGATTTGATTCCAACTAGTTACCAGACTTGTCTGCATGACGTGTGTGTTTTCATTTTGATTTTGTTTGCATTTTTCTTACCTTTTGCACTTTCTTTTATCTACAGCATGATTGATTCTGTAGGTTATAAATTCTGATTCTGATTTTATTCATTGTGCTATGTTTCATTTAAATTTATCAGTTTGTCTGACAGGCGGTTGCTTAGTAGTTACATAGCACAGACATTGATACATGTAGACCTGCTGATTCCATTCAATACCACTGTTCTCTTATGTCATGTCTGTGAAGGTCTTGCTACAGTGCTAGTCGCGCTTTGTTGAAAGCTCTGTGTCATGACGCCATTGTCTTTGATCTTGATGAAATATGTGGCTTGTCAAGCAGTTGTTAGTACATTCCAATTTGGGATACATCCCTTGGGAAAGGTTTGTCAGTGATCAAATGTTGCTATATTTTTTCCCTGCTACAAACAATTAATGTTTTGCTATTTCTTGTTTTTCAACTATGCAGGTACGCAACATGTTTTTTCAAGATGGAGACCGTAAAATCGACTTTGTCCTTGCATGGAAGGTCAAGGTTAAAAAACAGCAAGAGGCGGAGGAGGCAAGAATGATCTTTGAGACTAACCTACGTGATGAAGGCCTAGAACTGGAGTATGACAAGGTGAGGCAAGCCTCCATCATGTCCATGCCCTTTATTAATTAGGGTATCAGCATGACTCAAATGTTATGAGGTTTTTTATATCTAAGGGAATAGCTTATCTCTTGAGGGGGCATGGGGGCGGTCGGGTAGCCTAGTGGTTTATGTGTTTGCTCGTCACACCGAAGACCCGGGTTCGATTTCCGACATGTGTACAATGTGTGAAACCCGTTTCTGATATTGCTGGAATATTGGTAAAAGCGGCGTAAAACCAAACTCACTCACTCACTTGAGGGGGTATGAGTAGCCCAGTCTAAGGCACTGCAATTTGCTGTGCAGAATTGTGTCCTTTGGGCATGTTGGGCACACCAGAAACCTATTGTTATGTTTCGAATCCCAATTCGTCCCAGTTATGTTATGATATAACTTGAATACTGTTCAAAGCGGTGGTAAACCCAACAAATTCACTCACTCCCTTTCTTATCTGTTGATGACACTTGTTTGAGTCTGTATGTAGCTTTTAAACCACTGTCAAATAGTCTGAATTAATAGGATTTGCTTCAATTGTAGAGGAACGGCGAGACCCACTTCATGAAGGTCCATGCTCCTTATAAGGTGTTGGAGAGGTATGCTGACATCCTCAAGATCCGTATGCCAATGAAGGAGGTATGTGTGCAGAGTGTTATCAATGGTGCATCTAGGTTTAGGTTAGTAGTTGTGTATTGTATTGTATTGTGTAAATCCAGGAATGAACTAGAGATAGTTGGTGTTTTGGGTCACCCCATGTAAACTACACTGGTGACAGGAGATATAACTCATCAATGTCAGGAAGTAAGAATCATTTGCTACTGTAACTATCACACATGGATTTCTCCTCCTAGTGGGCTTGGCAGGAGCTGTGTTGTCTACGCATTGTGACCGCCTCTGTGGTCTAGTGGTACAGCGTCCACCCGGAGAGCGGAAGGTCCGGGGTTCAATCCCCATACCAAAAGATGTTAAAAGATGGTACTTGTTGTTACCCTGTCTGGTTATCGGCATAAAGGGGCTAAAACAAGGACTGGTCGGCTCAGAGTCAGTATACTGTGTCTGAGTGGGGTATTCATGTTAAACTGAAACAAATACTGTTCAAAGTGACCTAAACCCATACTCCAAGTGGGCTTACGTCATTTCAAATAATCTGTCATCTTTTACCCCAAAAGAGCTTTTGTTTTTTAAACTTTGTATGCCATCTCACACAAGTAGGCATGATGTCAGAAGCATTTCCCTGTCAATGCATATGTCCACTTGACTGGTTCAGTTGTCGTAAGTATATGGTGGGTGAATGACATTATAGTTTTAAGTAATGAGGAATCAGACATTGATGAAGCCTTTAAGAAAAACATCATGTCTTAGTATGAGTTGTGTATATGTTCTGTTGTCCTAAAGAATACCTGGGGGGCACAGGTGGCCCAGTCGTCTAAGGCGCTGCAATTTGCTGTGCAGAGTTGCATCCCTTGGGCATGCCAGAAACCTATGATTGTGGGTTCGAATCCCGGTTCGCCCTGATTTCTAGGTTTGTCAGTACCATACCCCTGCTCGTTGGTTTCATCAAAGTGGTAAACGTCTGCGACCTGCATCACTTCGTGCTTTCCTCCCACATTAAGCTGACACAACATGATATAACTGGAATACTGTTAAAAGAGGCATTAAATATAACTCACTCACTAAGGAATAGCTCTGTAGCTGTTGTAAGTCTGATGTACCCCATGCTTGTTATTAGAAGCGGCTATAATGGGGACCAGCTGACCACAGTGGCAGCTGAGGGTGGTTACACCATGTATGCGTTACCACCAGGAGCTGATACAATCAATGAGGACCATTTGTTATCCTGCTTCTCCACAATTACTCTTTGAAGGCCTCTGTGGTGTATCTGTACAATTGTTGACTGCAATGTGGTAACCAAAATCATTCACTATTTACTTAGAATTTTTTGTTTTTTTCTGTGAAAAGATATGCTTTTTTCCATATCCTTATTCCATATGCAGGACATGAATCTGTACCTGGTTGACAGAAAGATAACAAGCCTTGTTTTGGAGGAGGTGATTTGAGCCAGAGTGTACTACCAGTCATATTCTATTACAATGATTACTAAACAATTAGAACATGTAGATGTTGAACTTTTTTTTAATCAGTGTGCTTACTGCCAATAGCTACAGACTCTCTGTAGCATAACATTAGGAAGTGAGACATGCAGTAGGTCTGCCTACAGGCTGTAGCATAACCATGACAACAGCTGTAGCAAGCCTGATCTACCTACATACTCTAGAGTTGTAGGTAGTGAGACCTATCTGACTACATACTCTGGTGTAATTCTGTAGCACTACCAAACCAGCCTCTAGTGTAACAGCAGGTAGAGAAACTAGTCTACCTAACAACTGTAGCACTTACATTAGCCTGATCTGACTTCAGATTTGAGTGTGTCAGTAGGTAGTAGGTAGGTAAACATGCAGACCCATACAGCAGAGTAAAAGCAGGTAGCAAAGCTGGAAACTTACTGCCTATAAACATCAGCATGAGACTAGGTAGATGAGACGGACCTGCCTATAAACTATAGTGCAACAGTAGGTAGAGACATGAGTGTAATCTGCCCACAAACTATAGTGTAACAGTAGGTAGAAACATGTGACTGATCTATGTGAGGTATGGAGGCATGTGGGGGTGGGGGAGGATGTTTTTATGGGGTGGGGCAAATAGACTGACATGTGACTAGCAGTGTTTGAGATATGTGGATATGTGGGATGATTTCTTGAAGAGATGAGGTGGTATATCTTTAATTTGGTGATAAGTGAAAGGTTCAAACAATTTATATGTATGATGTTTTCTTCTGGTTGGGATGACAGCATGTATACAAGAGACCCTGGCATCGGAAGGTACATGTATATGATTTTGGTATTTGAAGAATCAGCATGCTCTGTTGTCAGCAACTTGTCAGCATCATTTCATAATTTTATGTCCTAGATGCACGGGATTACTCTCAAACTAACTTTTCAAATACTTACAAAATCCATTTTAATAAACGTTCAAACTCAAAGAAATAAATTTTATCTTAAGCATTCAAACAATAACAGTTTCAAGAGAATGAAACTAAAATCAATACATGATCATGAAACAAAAACAGTTAGAAGAAGAGGTTTTTCATTTCTTGTGTCCGTGCCATAAACTGTCATGTTTTGGACATGTTGCTGTCATGTGTTTGAATCAATCATGGAGTTTAGCTGTCACATGTCAATTATGGAGTTTAGCTGTCATGTGTCAATCATGGAGTTAAGCTGTCATGTGTCAATCATGGAGTTTAGCTGTCATGTGTCAATCATGGAGTTTAGCCATCATGTGTCAGTCATGGAGTTTAGCAGTCACGTGTAAAATTATGGAGTTTAGCTGTCATGTGTCAATCATGGAGTTAAGCTGTCATGTGTCAATCATGGAGTTAAGCTGTCATGTGTCAATCATCGGGTTTAGCTGTCATGTGTCAATCATGGAGTTTAGCTGTCATGTGTCAATCATGGGGTTTAGCTGTCATGTGTCAATCATGGAGTTTAGCTGTCATGTGTCAATCATGGGGTTTAGCTGTCATGTGTCAATCATGGAGTTTAGCTGTCATGTGTCAATCATGGAGTTTAGCTGTCATGTGTCAATCATGGAGTTTAGCTGTCATGTGTCAATCATGGAGTTTAGCCATCATGTGTCAGTCATGGAGTTTAGCAGTCACGTGTAAAATTATGGAGTTTAGCTGTCATGTGTCAATCATGGGGTTTAGCTGTCATGTGTCAGTCATGGGGTTTAGCTGTCATGTACCCATCATTGGATTTAGCTGTTACATTTCCATGGTGTTTGAATGTCATGTGTCAATTATGGAGATTAGCTGTCATGTGTCAATCATGGGGTTTAGATGTCATGTCTCCATCAGGGGTTTAGCTGTCACATGTCCAACACGCAATATATCTGTCACATGTCCAACATGTAATATATCTGTCACATGTACAACAAGCAATATCTGTCACGTCTACAACAAGCAATAATCTGTCACGTGTACAACATGTGATATAACTGTCACATGTCAAATAACCACATAACTGTCACACGTCCAACATATGAAATAAATGTTGTATGTCCAACAAGGACATGTCCAATCTCTGGTGTGGCTGTCCCATGTTAATAGTTTACAAGCCTCAGGATAAGTAAAATGTATTCCTATTTCCATGTCCAATATATAAGGGAGGTACATCATCAGTCTGCAGTATTAGCCACTTGTCTGAAGCCTGAGTCTTGTAAAATTTTGTCTTGTAAGCTGAGCTGATAGACGTCCATTACCAACTAAACAATCTGAAAATGGCATCAAGAGCCATGTTGTGGCTAGTAGTTTGGGGCACAGTCTCACTCTGTATCATCATATCCAGTTCACCATCATTTCACGTTCCTCCATTCCAGTTAGGCACACCAGTTTGTGTACTGAACAGCATGTCTCATTCCAGTTGTAGTGCACCAGTTTGTGTGTTGGTAGTGACACACTTTTACTGTTTCATTGAATCTAACTAACATCTAATGTGTTTTAGCTAACATGTGTTTGCAGTTTTTCTTATTCTTCGCTTTGTGTTTTTTTCTTCCTCCCACTTGTTACTTTCCACCCCAATGGGTGTCGTGTTCCACCACTGTGCTGACTTGATCTACCGTGCGCGTTGCTGTTGGTGCTGTTACTGATGCTGCCATGTGGGCTGCTTGGCTTATAGACCGTCGTCTTACATAACATGGCCGGCAAATTCGAGGACTTGGAGGTACATAGCATCTACTGCCATGGTAGCATCTCACAAGTTCCAAGCATTTTGAACACATTATAATATAGAGCTAGGGCAATAAATATATATTTATTATATGTATGCTTGAAAAGCCACAGATGCCATTATTGCTTCATATTACACGAATATATAGAAGGGGTAGACACAATGAGTAATGTTACAATCAAGTCCACAATCTGGATTATAACAGATATTACTATATTTTAGGAGAAAATAATAAACCAAATTTTCTTATGTATAATGCACATCCTGCTTTTAGAGTTCACTTATTGTGAAAAAATAGCCTTTCCAGATTGTCTTTATTCTAGGAATGTAGACTGATGTCTGTGTCTAACCCTGATATATATGCGTATGTGATATATGTTAGCTTATTCAGTAGATGGAACATGTGTGGTGTTGCTATGGTGTTCTTGAGGTATATTTTGTATTTTATTAACATGTTATGAGGATTTGGTTGATGGTAAAGGTAAGGATATTAACAGTATTCATCCAAGGCACAAGCAGAAAAGAGATACATTGGATCAAACGGTCTTCCTCTAAACAGTGTATATCAAGCAGGAATTTAAATTGGACAAGGGAGATTTTTGGACAAGTTTTGTCTTCCTGTTTTCACCCCTTACTCAGAAATCTATTATTTTTTATGTGTGATTTGGTAAACTGATTCTTCTCCAACTCTCTGACTGTCTTGTCTGGCTCTGGTTTACATGATCATATTTGTCCCTTTCAGGTGTACAGCGTTATGAATAAAGTGAGACGTATTCCCTGTTCCCTAATTAGTGTTGCCCGTGTCATTGTATGCCTCCTACATTGTCCCACAATTCCACTCTCACAGCACTATACACCCAGTCAGAGGCTACCAGGGGGACACAACTCATGTGTCAAACACCACTGTTCTGACTAATCTAAAACTCATCTTTAATATTAAATCATAAACATGATAAAAGAACATATATAGGTAATTACCCATTCGTCACAATGATATCTGTACCCTAGGAACTGGTTAAATGTGATGCCAATGAACAAAATAAATGTTACATTTTATGCACAGGTGTAAATGAAGTACCGTAACTGCTTTATGCGTTCCCTTCTAAATTTACAAACAGCAACAAACAAAAATACAATTTCTTTTTCATTGAATGCCACTATTCTTTAGCATTGGTATTGCCTGCACTTCTTTGCAACTGTTGCGTATTGACTGTAAAAGTGTGGTGTATTGTAAGTTGTTCACTGCCGAGTGTCTTTAGAGGTAATTAAATTTACCTCAATTATTTTTTCAATATTACATAAACAGTAAGAGTGAAACGGCACTTTAGTAAATTCAAGGAAGTAAATCACCCACTCCACTTTAGAAGTAGGAATGAGGTTGCTGTTTATTTCTCCCCATTCGCCAAATAGAAAAACTATCAAAACCTGGATGCCATGCTGCATTTGTATCGTAGTAGAAATTATGAAGGAAATATCTTTGGTATTTGATATTTGACATCATTGTGAGATCACTAATATTATGAATAATGAATGTGATGCATGCTTAAAAAGAGGATGTTGTACTTACTTTGGTATCAGTGAAAGAAATTAACACTAACACAATCAACAATACTTACATCTGGATATGAATAACTACATGTGTATTGATAGGAACATTATGACATTACTACAATGCAGTGATTTCTACAATATACATCCACTTACTGCACTACCAGTTACATTGATTGATATTTGGACATGCTCTAACTGCACTAGCAGTGATATCAACATTTGGACATCCACTGACTACACAAGCAGTGATGTCAACATTGGGACATCCACTAACTACACTAGCAGTGATATCAACATTGGGACATCCACTGACTACACTAGCAGTGATATCAACAGTCATGCATCCACTAACTACACTAGCAGTGATATCAACATTGGGACATCCACTAACTACACTAGCAGTGATATCAACATTGGGACATCCACTGACTACACAAGCAGTGATATCAACATTGGGACATCCACTGACTACACAAGCAGTGATATCAACATTGGGACATCCACTAACTACAAAAGCAGTGATATCAACATTGGGACATCCACTAACTACACAAGCAGTGATATCAACATTGGGACATCCACTGACTACACAAGCAGTGATATCAACATTTGGACATCCACTAACTACAAAAGCAGTGATATCAACATTGGGACATCCACTAACTACACAAGCAGTGATATCAACATTGGGACATCCACTGACTACACAAGCAGTGATATCAACATTGGGACATCCACTAACTACACTAGCAGTGATATCAACATTGGGACATCCACTAACTACACAAGCAGTGATATCAACATTGGGACATCCACTGACTACACAAGCAGTGATATCAACATTGGGACATCCACTAACTACACTAGCAGTGATATCAACGTTATAGCATGTCTGATTACACTAGCAATAAAACACTTCAACATTGGGCATGCCTATCAATCTGCAAGATATGCATCCTCAATAGTCTAGGGTATTTTATCTCCAGCCTTCAATTATAAATACCCTGGACCCATTCGCTGACATTTCTTGGGAAGTGTAGCACATGAGTCTCATTTGACTCAAAACGAAATTATGATAGTGTTTGGTTGAGGGTATTTATCATAATTGAATGGAGATATATTACTCTTGATAATCAAGATATGTTGTGATCTTAATTTCTTTGAGCCAAACAGAGAAAACGATTGCCCATCCCAAACCTATTGAACATTCCTTATTTTGTAGTGCTGTTACTGTCAACTACAAACTCTCCAACAAATGATGTGAAGACATAATCTGCTGTAGTTCACAAGAGTTATCTAAGCACCCAAGTTTTAGAACACATTAGATTGACATTTCTATCATATTTCATTTCAGTCCATTATCATTATGGTGATGGTGATCAAACGTGTCAATGCCTGGCCATTTTACTCAATCTATTTGTGTTTGGTGACCAGAATGCATGTCTGTCTGTCCGACTGTCTTTCTAACTGTCTGCCTGTCAAACTGTACAACTCGTCAGTCTGTGTGGGTTTTGGTAATATATGAATCTGCATGTTGACCTGTGTCTATGCATGTCAACTTACAGTCTACCCAACCTGGTCTATCATACATCATCTTTCACCTATCAGCAACCCATCCCAGGGGCTTGAATTAACCCAAACCAGTGACTAACAATCTGCTGTGTATTTTTCCTTTAGAGTAATAGAGTTATCTTGGTTTGCATCGTGATAGCTTGGGATGTCTCCCAGAGCATGTAGAAGCCTTTCTAGTTAAACCATTTAGCATTTGACAGTTTTGCTGTGTGGTCGTCTTTAGATGTGGTTTGTTCTGTAAGAATCCTGTCATGATATCATTGATATTTTCTTCAAAGTTTTGTATATGTTTCTGAAAATCGGACAAGTAAAGTAAAAGTTATTTCAATATCCGTGATCTTCTCAATATGTGAAAGTTGTAACTGCTGTACCAAATGCATCTTCATGATTGATATGCCTGAGTCTGACGTATTCTAGAGTCCCGTGCAGTCTGTGTCGACGCGGCTGTGGAATTCCGTCACTGGCTTTTTCAAGCGCTTCCTGTCCCCCTTCCAAATAGACCCGACTGTTATGCCTCCAGTAAGGCGACGCTACACGTGCCCATACAGCCGGAACAAGAAATATCTGTAAGTACACATACCACTTGGTGATCTGACATACCTTCTTTCCTGGAAGTTGTTTTACTGTCTGATAACTCTCTGGATACACAAGACAGGGCTCTACCTTGACCAGCACAACAGGAGGTCCAGTGGACCCACTTTAATTAATTTCAAGGATCCTTACAGGATATATGAGGGTCCGTTAATGTATTGAAATTGTGCACTGTACTGTAAGATTTGATAATTGTTTGAATTACAGAACCTTTGAATTTCTTGCCATATTAATATTAATATTACTGTGCATCCCTGGGATGCAATTTTTATTTTCTTTGCGTTCATTCTATACAGAACATTTGTGTGTACTGGACACACATTTGTGCATCATGTAAGACCCTGACAAGATCATTAACAACTTATGTCACCTTGTGGATAATCCAAATGTGGTCTGAATTATTAGGTACTTTATGAGTTGAAGTTTGTACTTGAGTTTAAGTTGAAACTGAATGTGTTAGAATAGACGTTCAAATGTATGACTTGGAGGTTTCATATGAATGATGACATTCCTCAAAGTTAAAACACTTGAAGGTCTATCTCCATTTTACTATGACAGAATTGGACGCAACTTCTTTGGGGTCAGCAAAGATATTGCATGTTTTGATTTCAAAATATCAGGGAAAACAATTATTTCAATTCAGCTCATCCAATGACATGTTTTGTTTTGGCAGATTTGAAATGAATGAAAATAAAGAGCTGCTGTTTTCAAATGCTGTGAGAAGTTGGATCGTGGATTACATTTTGAGAAGGAAAGCATTCAAGAAAGACGAAGGAAAAGCATTTTCATTTGGTATGTTATAGCTAAGGAAAAACATACTTTTATAAAGATCTAAAGGCGATGTTGATTTTTTAAATACCAATTCCGCGGCCTAGTTTTCTATAAATCTAGGTGCTTGATACCAGTAAAAAATGTTTATAATTTTTGCTAGGTCTGAAGAAGATGATGGCTGATGGGTTCTATGATGCTGCCTTCCCCATGCATGAGGTGAGTTGATGGAGATTCAGCTCCCCTGAACACTGTACAGGTTACTATGAGTATAACAAACACAAAGGGACCACTAATTTTAGTTAACCAAAGTTCGTTATAAGCATATGTACAGCATATATACAGCAAATGCCTGGTACCAAAAAACAGTGTGTTATATCCGTCAGTTCGTTATATGCGTGTTCGTTATAAAAGTTACTGTAGGTGTCTTAGAAGTGAGTTCATCTGAGGATCCTGTGTCTGCAATGACGGCCAGGTAGAGAGAGATACTGGTCGTTTGGGTAGACCTTCTGGGAGACATTGACCAAATCACATATTTTCATTATTTTTAAAATTTCACCAACCATGACAAAAGATAGATGATAAAATCTCCACTGATTCCCAGCAGTGCATCTGTTTATCTTGAAGACACTGGTTAACTCCAAGTAATGGTATTCAGATTTGAAATAAGCACCTTCCTCTAGGCCTCTAAGGTAGATGCTGTGTCAGGCCTGTAGTGTCAAATTTGCCCAAAGAGTAAGTCAGGGCCTGCTGCTTCTAAAGTCTGTAGGTTCTGATGATAGCCCGGCAGTGTATTGAATTATAACACTGATAGTATGATATGAATATTACTGATTCACATCAGCAATGAATGTTGAACAGTAGGGTCCACCAACAACTGACAGCTTGTCTGACCAGTAGTGTCTGTGTGTCGTTTCAGGGTCACTGGAAGCCTGGGTCCGCCAACAACCCACGCAAATTGCTCTACGATTACTGGGCCGGCTGGAGGAGCTTCCTCAAGTTTCAGCCACATGACTACATCAGGTATACATTCCCAGCATGTTATATTCCAAATACAAAAAAACTATGTCAGCAGTATTTGACATTAGGGAGGTCCTAGGGTTCTATTACTATTTTGTTATTATATATTACTCTAGAAACCCCTATTATTTGTAATTATCGGGATTAGGCCGAGGACGTTTTGCCTTATATTCTTAATCCCTGACTGGGGTCACAGGTGGTCCCGTTGTTTCAGGCGCCGCAATTAGCTGTGCAATTCTGGGTTTGTCAGCACCATACATGTGCTTGAGGGTTTCACGGAAGTGGTAAACGTCTGAGATCTGCATCACTTTGGGTTTTCCACCCACTTTAAGCTGTCAGCCCATAATATAACAGAAATACTGTTTAAAGTGGTGCTGAATCACTCACTCACTCACTTAATCCCTTATTGCTGCTCCTTTCCCCTATTTTGATTGATTTGTTTCCTATAAAATATTGATGATGTCTGTTACCCATGAAACTATGTCTTTATTCTTTTCAATGTGTTTGTATTTCAGAAATTATTTTGGTGAAAAGATTGCCATATACTTTGCCTGGCTTGGTTTCTACACGACAATGCTGGTTCCTGCTTCGATAGTTGGTCTGATAGTGTTCATCTATGGCTGTGTTATCATGTACACAAATGATGTCACGTGAGTTGGTACCATCTATACACATGGTTGAGTTAGTATGAGTATTGGGTGGCCGTGCCTGGGGGCCCATTTGTCTAAGGTGCCGCAATTCGCTGTGAGTTCCGTCCCTTAGGCATGCAAGAAACCTGTGATTTAAGGTTCAAATCCCGGTTCAACCCGATTATGTCAGCACCAACCTCCTGCTTGTGGGTTTCACCAAAGTGATAAATGTCAGAGACCTGCATCACCCAGAGCTTTCCTCCCACATCAAGCTGACACGCCATGATATAATTGGAATACTTTCAAAACTTGCTTTATACCCAGCTCACTCAATCAGTTCTCAATGTCACAGAGTATAGATATCCTGATAAGATGGCTCTCCTTGTCTGTATCCGTCATACTGTGTCATAACTGGAATACTTTTCAGAGCTGGGTTAGACCCAAGTTACTAAATCAGCGTGAGTCAAGAGTATAGATATCTTGATAAGATGACTCTCTTTGTCTGTTGCTCTTGGGGATGTTGAGTCCATATGCTACACAGTGTGTCATGTAAATTCCCATGGGGATTCCGAGGTAGAATAGGTTCCCAGTACTAGTGGCATTGACTTATCATGATTGGTGATACAACCTGTGATTGACTGATTGTGTCGTTGTGCCCCAATGGTTATGATCATTGCTCATGCCATCAGTCGTTCAACTCAGTTTCATATCTGGCTGCAATAATACTGGAATGTTACTGACTGCAAACATCATCCACACACTCACTCACTGATGGAGATCACTACTGTCTGAGGGTATTAAACTCGGTGACTTTCATGACTATTCTTTGATTATCTGACTTACAACAGACAATAATAGTTCAAACAAAGAGCATCTGAACACTGCATTAAGGTAATGAATTATTACAGTGGTAGTATGTACTATTTGTACACATTTACTCATTGGCTAGTGTTTGTTTCCCTACAGGGCAGAGCTCTGCGATCCCAAAAACAACTTCACCATGTGCCCCTTGTGTGACCGTCAGTGTCCCTACTGGAAACTACATGAGGCATGTACTCATGCAGCCGTCAGCAGGATATTTGATAATGGTGCTACCGTCTTCTTTGCCATCTTTATGTCACTGTGGGGTAAGTAGACCAGTCAACTTTATGTCCATGTGCTGCAGTTATGATCCTTTTTGAGCTTCAGTTCTGCGAAATAACTTCAGAACAATTTAAAATGTCTTCATAAAATTTTGACAATGATTTGACAGTATTCATGATCACCTTAAAACAGATCAGATCGTCTGTCTTCAGACTAGATTGTTTTGAGTCATGCCCCTTAACCCCGTCAAGGATCTGCTGGTAGTGGGATTGAATCACAGATATTTGATTATCCTTGTTCTCTCAGCTATTAAACAATTCTCATAGGTCAGCCTCGCTGACTTGGCTGATGCATGTCATTGTATCCCAATTGCGTGGATCGATGCTTATGATGTCAATCACTGGATTGTCTGGTCCAGACTCAATTATTTACAGACCACCGTCATATAGCTGGAATATTGCTGTGTGTGGCGTTAAACAACAAATAAACAAACAAACAAATCATAGGTTCCATCACTTGTAGTCTTCTATATGAACTGCATTAATTTGGGCTTTCCTTACCACAATAACTAGCACACAGAACTGTAACTGAAATACTGTTCAAAGCAGCATTCTACACCAATCACATGCTCTCTCATGAAAGAGATAACTTTCTTACCTCAGACAATGTTATGTTTTAGCTCTCTCTTGTGTGGTGCCCCAGCTATATCATGTCCACTATATGGTATGATTGTTTTAGAAAGAAGTGTTTTACAACTTTATACATATGATTTGCAGGTACTCTGTTTCTTGAGTTTTGGAAACGTCGAGAGGCTACGATCCAGTATAAATGGGACCTTACTAACTTTGTTTCTGAAGAGGTACGTTCACAGATTTGTGTATTAATAATGTCTATCCATCAAAATATTTGTTACCTCATATGTACTAAATGAAATATGCCCCATATCTGAATTATTCGAGAAAAGGAATTTGACATGGACATGAACCATTATTTTTCAGGAACCTCCAAGACCTGAGTATTTGTCCCAGTTGGAAGGTTGGCACACACTGAAGGTCAACCCAGTCACAGGGGTGAGTATCTAACTGATTGACACACTGAAAGTAAATTTTATACAAGGTTTGGTTAAGCATTGTCAAGGGCGTATGTTCACTGAAAAGTCCAAAGTATTCCTTAATTGTAAGAAAATCAACACCGTGTGAAGTTGAACAGCATGAACCGTGTATGGATAGTTTTTGTATTTGAGTTCAGATATCATACTCTATGGCTAACAATGCCAGTGACACACTAACACATGGCCATGCTTTTCACACTACATTGACATGTGGTAAAACTGAGGTAATACCACTATTGCTCACTGCAGCAGCCCAACCGTCTTTGTGGTATCTTGTGAATAGAGAGTCTAACCGGGTCACAGGTTCGATCGCTGGTCTTGTCATACAAAAGACGTTAAAAGATGGTACCTGTTGTTACCCTGCCTGATGCTCGGCAATAGGAGACAACACAAGAACTGGTCAGCACAGAGTCTGTATAATTTGTCTGAGTTGGGTATTCATGTTAAACTTTGGCAATGTATCTCGGTGGGCTTACAATATTGATAAAAAAACGGCATTAGTCGGGACAAGTACAAGCAGACACACACATAAACACGTCACTATGTAAGTGCATTATTGTTGAAAGCGACATTAAGCCCCATTTCATTTCACCTCATGACTGCTGCAGCCATCTTCTGTTGTTTGATCACTCATTATCTTTCTTTGCTTGTTTTTCAGATCAAGGAGCCCCACCTCCCATTCTGGAGGCGCCGTTTCCCCATCTTTCTCTGCTCCTATACAGTCATGATAGTTCTGGTAGGTATTGTAGCTTGAAATGAATGTTCACGGTTAGTCTTTTACTTTAAGCATGTTTAGCGCACCTGAGTCTTCTCTCCTTCCTCAATTCAGGTTTTCAATGAAAAGACAGACCAATGCAAGATCATAAACATATGAAAAGAGTAAGCTTTAACCTGGTCAACAGGTATTTGAATTTAACTTTATTTGAAACAATTTGGATGTTGGCAGACAAATGCATCTGTTATTGTTCATCTGTTTCCAGGCACTGATGGCTGTAGGTGCAGTGATTGGAGTGATAGCTTACAGGGTGTCCATGTTGGCTGCACTACAACTGATCCGAAAGCAAGAAATATTCACCAACAGCAGCGACGTTACCACCAAAACCGTCAATCTCATCTACCAGAATGCCAGTCTTTTGACAACAGTGACAGCTGCCTTGATCAACCTGGTCATCATTCTGCTGCTGAACTTCGTAAGCACTAGTCCACTGTCAACTTTTGGTCTACCATCTTTTTTAATATTGACGAATTAGTTAATTGATACCCCAGGTGTATTCTAATTATTGTTTTTCTTGTTTGTTGAAGTTTGTTTGTTTGTTGTTTAACGCCGCACTCAGCCATATTCCAGCTATATGATGGCATCTGTAAATAATCAAGTCTGGAAAAGACAATTCCAGTGACTGACACCATGAGCATCAATCTGCACATTTAGGATACAATGACATGCATCAGCCAAGTCAGTGAACCCAACCACCCGATCCCATTGGTCACCTCTTATGACAAACATAGCCTTTTACAGCAAGCAAGGGTTGCTGAAGACCTATTCTCTCCCCTCCCACTCCCCTCTCTCCCCCTCCCCTCTCTCCCCCCCCATATATATTGCCCTGTTTTTTGTGTGTTTTGTTTGTTTGTTTGTTTGTTTGTTGTTTAATGCCGCACTCAGGAATATTCCAGCTATATGATGGCGCTCTGTAAATAATCGAATCTTGACCAGACAATCCAGTGATTAATGTCATGAGCATCGATCCACGCAATTTGGATACCATGATATGCATCAACCAAGTCAGCGAACCTGAACAACCGATTCCGTTAGTCGCCTCTTACAACACGCATGGTTAGCGGTAGACCAATTCTAACCCGGATCTTCACAGGAGCCATATATATTGGCAACCATGCATCATGACATATTACATACAAATGTACTCGTCTATATTTATCCATTATCAGGAAGACCGCCTCCGTGGTCTAGTGGTAGAGCATCCGCCCAGAGAGCGGAAGGTCCGGGGTTCGATCCCCGGCCGCATCATACCAAAAGGCGTTAAAAGATGGTACTTGTTGTTACCCTGTCTGGCGCTCGGCATTAAGGGGCTAAAAAACAAGGACTGGTCGGCTCGGAGTCAGTATACTGTGTCTGAGTTCGGTATTCATGTTAAACTTCGGCATGGTATCTCAGTGGGCTATCAATGGGCATCAGTCCGGTCTAGTACAAGCAGCCACACACACACACACACACACACGTGCATGCACGTCGCTTTATAAGTGCAATAATCTTGGACGCGACGTTAAACCCAAATTCACCTCACCTCACCACCATTATCAGGATAGGTTGTATTGTTTGTGTCATTGCACTAGCTGGTACAGATACCTTCGATATATTTATTTTCTACCTTGTGTTTGTGTACAGGTGTATGGGTACCTGGCTTTCTGGCTGACAGACTGGGAGTGCCTGCGCACACAGAGCGAGTATGACAGCAGTATCACTCTCAAGTTGTTTGCTCTGCAGTTTGTCAACTACTTTTCTTCCATCATCTATATTGCATTTTTCAAGGGGAGGTAAGTGCATCCTCATTCTGTGATAAATACAGAATACTTCACAATACTTTATTGAAACAGATAGATGATCGTCTGTAAAACTGTTGTAAAAGAATGCATATCTTTCTTAATGTAGTGACCGCCTCTGTGGTTCAGTGGTACAGTCTCTGCCCAGAGAGCGGAAGGTCGGCCCCGGTCGCATCATACCAAAAGATGTTAATAGAAGGAACTTATTACCACGTCTGGCGCTCGGCATTAAGGGGCTAAAACAAGGCCTGGTCGGCTTTGAGTGTCTGATTGGGGTATTCATGTTAAACTGCGGCATGGTATCTCAGTGGGCTAGCGCTTTAAAATCTGAAATAGTCCAGACTAGTACAAGCAGCCACACACACTCATGTGCATGCACATCGCTATATAAGTGCAATAATATTGGACGCGCCGCTAAACCTTATTTCACCTCACCTATTAATGTGGTATTTTGTTAATGATCCACATGATTGATAACTTTATCTCTGTACCCAGTTGCAAATGAATAGTGAGAAGACCAAGGATAGGCACTACTACTATTTCTCCCTAAATGGATTAAGTGACTGTGTTGCATCTGTTGTTTGAGTAAACATGTCAATGTTCACTGTTCGCAGCTTCAGTTTGAGAGTACTCATGGTAACAGTACATTAGTCAGCATAGGTGTCCAAGAATGATTTTTGTAATGGGAGGTCGAACCATTGGACTATTACAGTGTTAGAAATTGGCACTAGTTCTACAGTCCTTGTCAAACTGCCCAATAGTTAAGGTATCACAAGGACAAGTAGAAATTTTGTAAAATGTTATCATTATTAGGACTAGTGGACTAAACATGTTAGCTTCAATCACTGCTAATGTGTGGTTTACAGAATTAGCTTCACACCAAAACTCTAAAAAGAAACATGTATTCGCTACACAGTTCGACTGAGTTTTAAAGAGTTCCCTTAGCAGACATCTGACTGTGTGTCCTGATGTGTTGTCTGTGTCTGCAGGTTTGTTGGCCGCCCCGGGAAGTACAGGACCGTGTTTGGAGGACGCCAGGAGGAGGTGAGATCAGTAGTTGTGGTTGTCAAGGGCTTGTTTTCATTCGTGTAGGGAGAGGTTGTCCATGTACAGGGATATGAATTTTCCACAAATTTCTTTACATCAAGAATCATTTTTGTGATACATGCCATTACAATACACATACACCGTATAGTTGCCCAGACCCCCACCTAACTTTCAGTGTTTATTTCAAAATCATCCCTGCAGGTAGGGAGCAAATGTTGCATTCTTGTAAGCAGTTTTGATTGCATTGACGTAGGAAGTGATTGTTGCATTTGTGCAGGGAGTGTTTGTTACAGAAATGTTGCTTTTTGCATATAGTAGGGAGCATATCTTCACAAATCTTTCCTCATTTCATTTATGTATTTCTTCTCATAACATTGATTAAGAGTAATTCTTCAATTGTTATATCCTGTTTTAGTTAAAAGTGTAGGGCAATGCAGATGGCACATCAAACAATGTCAAGATGATACTTGCAAAATCTTCCTCTGAATAATAGATCCCCAGTCCAGTTACCCAAATGATATATGGACTGTTTCAAATGCTCCTCAGTGTTGAAACATGTATGTGCAATGATTATTAAGTACAAATCTGAGCAGTAAAAGTGAATGAAACCTCTTTGATTGGGTTTATTATACCTCCTTTCTAATGTGAAAAATACCCAGTTTGTAACATAGCTTCGTTTAGGGCATGACCTCTTTCTGTCTCGTCAGTAACTTTGCACAGTTGTTCCCTAAAGGATAAAAGTCTGACACTTGCATCACTTTGGGCTTTCCTCCCACATTAAGTTGACACACAGTGATATAACTGGAATACTGTTAAAAGGTGTGTTAAATCCAATGTTCCCACACTTGAGTTGCATATTTAACCAAGCAGTGGAGGCACATTGGTCCAGGGTATTCATCATAACAGAATGCCGATGTAATACATACGATTACCGATGATGGAGTGATTCATGTTTTAGAGGCAAAAAAAGCCCTTGCGATTGTTCCAATATGCAACATTTAACCTGGGTCAATTTGTATATTTCAGTGTGAGGCCGGGGGCTGTTTAATAGAGCTGTGTATTCAGTTGGCAATCATCATGATCGGAAAACAACTGATACAGAACAACTTTGTGGAGATAGTGCTGCCGTAAGTTGTCCTTAATTTAGTTTTGAGAAGATTAATGCTATGAGGTGAACAACATCCTTAAACTATTAGGGGCGGTCGGGTAGCCTCGGGGTTAAAGCGTTCGCTGGTCATGCCGAAGACCCGGGTTCGATTCCCGACATGGGTACAATGTGTTAAGCCCATTTCTGGTGTCCCCCGCCGTGATATTGCTGGAATATTGCTAAAAGCGGCGTAAAACCATACTCACTCACTTAAACTATTGCAGGCATGTCAGTTGAATACAGTTGATTATGTTGAGATGTATTTGGTCGCAGAAAAATAATCAAGTTCATCAAAAAGAAATGTGCGAAGGAGACTCGAGAGCAGAAACTAGCAAAGACTCCTTGGGAGAAAGACTATAAGATGACAGCTTCACAGACCACAGTTTTGTTCTATGAATACTTGGAGATGGGTAAGTAGCACTTTGTTTATGCCAGTTAAAATGATCAGGCTGATGTAAAAACCACAAGTATTATGAAATTTGACTGGACAGAAGTTGAGGCAGTGAAGATGAGTGTATTAATATGTGTAGTTAAGCGGAACATAATTACTCTCCTTGACCAAGTAGTGAAATACTCCATAGGACGTAAACTCTTATCAATTTTTTTCATACATTTATCCCTAATAAGCTTGTTCAAAGAGTAGCAGATTTGCACATGTATAAATATGGTACCTGGGGGTCTATTGTATTAAGATGTTTACATAGTCTACTCATTTAGCAACATGTCATGTATTCTGTCAACATTAGTGGTATATGCTTTATGTCGCTTCCATAGAAAGTTTCAGAATACCTTTTACAGACATTTTGAGAAAAAGTTATACACTTGTGTGATGATGTAAAGTAAATGTCGATACTGGACTGCTGGTTGTTAGCACTTTGGCAACTGTTAGTATGTATTAAGTCAGTTAAAGAGAGTAGACGCTGCACGTGAGCAAAAACAGTTCAGGGCAGTTTCATGATACGTACTGCATAGGGGTGTACTGATATTTCGAACTATCGAACAATTTGCAATTGTTTGCCCCACAATGGTACTATATCAATAGGAATTCTAAAAATGCCAATAGTATTGTCAATATTATGCATAACATTTGAAAGTTTCAATATTTGCAATTAGTTGAAAATTAAACAAAATTCCCATTTCAAACCTGCCTGTGTGTTTGTTAGCAAGGATAACAACATATCAATCAATGTAATCGAAGTGAATAAAGTATGACTGACAATCTCAAAGTCAGCCATTTTCTTCCCTGTGCCAAACTCAACCTAAGGGGAAGTAACTCCAATCTGAAAATTATCAATCCTTACAGTTTGCCAGGTGCACTTGTTAGTTCATGGCTGTATAACTCTTCCTTTCAGCTCTACAGTTTGGATTCCTGACAATATTTTGTGCTGCCTTTCCACTTGCTCCAATTTTCTGCCTGTTGAACAACATCATTGAGATCCGCTGTGATGCAGCCAAGTTTATAACACAACTTCGCAGACCAGTAGCAGATCGTGCTGCAAATATTGGTAAGATCAACACTAGTTTATTCACAGCAGAGGCGATCTGTTATAGAATAATTGCACAGACAAGGATTAGTCATCTTAATCCAAATATCAGTATTTCAAACTTGTCCTTCCAGTCCTGCTTGGAAGAAGTGTTTAATCTGTCCACCTTTTCCTTGAATTCCACATTAGTTTATTGCATGCCCAAAACGGCTTTCTGTGATTGTGTTTAACATAACCCCTCCTGTCTGTTGCAGGTATATGGTACAGTGTGCTGTATGGTCTCTCCAGGATTGCTATCATCACCAATGTAAGTCTACTGGTTATGCTGATACAGGGTTATATACAATTTAGAAATTGCAGGGGAAGCACAATAATACTCATTGTGCCAAATTCTAGACAAGAAATATTAAGGTCCTGTAATTAAAATGATTATAAAATCTTACAGTGCAGTACTCTACACCATGTTGTTACTTTACATGACCCTCATATTGCCTGTAAGAACCCTTGAGATTAATTACCTTGGTTCTCTTGGACCCCAGTATGTAAGTCAAGGTAAGACTGTGCTGGTACTTGTATATTACACCAGGAAAGTACTCGGTAGCCCTATTAGCTATACTTATACATGTCTATGCCTGGTTGGGGTGTCTGGGTTAGAAGCAGTCCCCTGCAACCTATGCTAATCATAAGAGGAGTCTTCATGGATTCTGTGGTCAGGATCTGTGACTTGGTATATTGTGAGACATTGTAAAACTGTAGCATTAATTGTTGATCACAATATCAATCCCTGGAATGTCTCGACCAGACTAGATTATATACAGGCCAGTGTCATATACAGCTGGAATATTGTTGAGTCTAGTATTATTACTATTAAGCAAGAAACAAGTATATAGATAGTTTTAAACTTTTACCTGTATATACATTTTCGAGCATATATTTATACTTGTGTATATGCAAGGAAACCTAGATATGGAATTGCTGTCTTTGGCTGAACCGGTTTCTACGCCGACATTATTCTTTTTACATGCATTAGTTTAATTAATATTAGTTCATAATGGACTTTTTTTCACTTGAATGGTGATCTCAGATAACATGGAATGTGTTAGGTTTAGCATCTTGAGTCTGTGACACTAGATGCATTGACTAGTCCTTGTTCTGTTGGCCAGGCATTTGTGATCTCACTCACGTCCGACTTCATCCCTCGGCTGGTCTATGGTTTGCGCTACAGTGAAGATGGAAGCCTCAAAGGTTACGTCAACTACACCCTAGCTTACTTCAACACCAGTGATTTTGAGGAGGACCACCGCCCATCAGATAGCATTATTTCTAATGAAGCAATCTGCAGGTCAGTGATATGCTGTCGGTTTGTTCACATTTGAATCAAGATGAAAGATATCAATAAACTTCATGACTTAAATATACTGAATAATGGCTGAATTTGTATTCGGTATTGATATGATGTGATAAAGACATTAAATGTAATCATGGGAAAACACAAGTGTCATTAAATTCATCATATATTAAAATTATTTGGAATAAAATAATGGTTCCATGTTGTCAGGTACAAAGATTTCCGTAACCCACCCTGGCACTATGACAGAGAGTACCGCCGGTCAGAAGTGTTCTGGCATATTCTAGCTGCACAATTGGCATTTGTAGTCGTCTTTGAGGTAAGTACAGAGTATTCTCTTCGATAGGCTATAGCATTGATTTGGTTAAGTTCACTGTGACATATATGATTACTGAGTGCAGTGTTCAAAATCCAGTATGAACGTCACAAAGTCTTGTTGTCATAACCTAATGTTATAACTTTAATAACAAAGGAGCAATCCTGAAGGACCTCAGGACCCCCTAATAATACACTGTAAATAGATAGTTCATTACTTGACTTTGTGTGTTGCAGAATGTCGTGGTTGTGGTGACAAGTCTAGTGGCATGGATGATACCTGATGTTCCATCCGAGCTGAAAGAACAGATCCGTCGTGAGGCGTACGTGACAAATGAGATTGTGTTGAAGACCGAGCTGATGCGAGCTCATGGCCAAGAAATCACTGCATCAACAATTGCTCTTGTTTCTGATGAGGAGTCAGGCCGATATTCCCCCCGACTCAGCGAGGATTTTGAGGAACCAAAGCTGATTCACAGGGGAGTGAACAACGGGGTGGAGTCCGAAGACTCTAAGACTTATGTCTAGCAGAAATTGACAGCCTGTTAACACAGCAAGTCAAGGAGACTAACGTCTAGCAGTAGCTGGCCACCAGTCAACTCAACAACAGTAGGCAGCCAAGGAGACTACATGTATTGTCAAGAAGTTTCCTTTAGGCACCTAGACCCAGAACAGATATTAACTGCAGTAGGCTTTGTGAGTGTTTTGTGTTGATCACTTACTTGAACGTATGAAACCTCTGCCTACTAACATGAACTATGCTCCTTCCATAATAATGACCGCCACACCATCTCCCTCCATTATATTGTCTTCATGCATGATAAGAGGGTTGTTTATTATATGAAGAGTTTTCTTATAAGATTATTCTGTGATGAGAAAGGGTATGTCATGGTTGTGATGGAAGACCATGACCTGCCTGCATTGTAACAAGTGTCAAGTGCCTTTAACTTCACTCAGTTCCAATCTGTGATGTTTCAAATTGAGAACCATAGTGGCTATAGTCGACAACACTTGTATTTTGCTGTTACTGTAAATTTGTACTTTAGACAAAACTTGTATTGATGGCAGTTGCTGAGGTAATGTAACAGTGAAACATTACAATTGTTAAGGTAATGTTACACTTTCACACTGCAGTTGATATAGGTGATGTAACATTTACAGTCCATGTCAAATGTTTTTATAGTGCACTAGCCTGAACATAGTGCACTAGTCTCTTGACGTCATTTTCAGTAGATCTTAGTGTTAATGATGGACTGCATGTACACTGCAGTTGCTAAAGATGTTGACACTTGTGTTGTGATGCAATATTACCCATACGCTGGAGGGAGTGGTGAAAGTTACTTTAGTTGTCTTTGCAAATACATATGCCCTTATTTCTTTAGCAACGAGTTTTGCAGTCTGACAGACTGATTATGTTTTGTTAGTGCATAATCAGCTTGGCAGCCAATGGTAATATGTTGTTGATGTTGTATATCCTTGAAACTTTTTTGTTGTCAAGGCTATTTATGAGCTAATGCATTTAAAATAGATTTCTACAATTTTATTTTACATAGCAATATTGTTACCCACTATGGTACACCTGATGTAGAGATTATCCTCTATCACATATCACACAGTTTATTCACTGAGTTTACATACAACACAGTACATTCTTTTTTCTATATTTGTATGTACACTGCTCTATGTAAGTGTTGTATTTTCCAGTATTACTTCTGTACAGGCTTGGTGACATTTGCTGGTCCATGTTTTGCTGGTTTTGTTTCGTGTTAGTGATGTTGTGTGATATTTTCTTAGCTATTTTAGCGCTTTTTATGATGGTTTTAGTAATGGGAAGAAAAGATCTGCTGTAGTAGGTGCTCAGTCTGTAGCAAACACTTTGTGTCAGTAGCCCAAACCTGGATTTAAGCCTCATTTTCTGTAGATTTTGATGCTATTATCAGACTATTATTAGCTGAGCTTACTGGACCGAACAACATTTTACTAGATTCGGGCTTCAGACTAGTGGCTAGCGACACAGACTGGGGGCTACTTGAGCATCTTCAGTGGGAGTTGAGACAAGCAATATAAGTGTGACAAAATGTGCCTTTATTTTGAGGAACAGGATGTTTGGAACTGAAAAGTTATAAACTTTACCTTTTTATACAACTGGTTATTTTTAAATATATGCATTAATCTGTTATTATCAGTTATTGTCGGTGATTATTTAAAAATTACTATCATGTTCCAGTACATGCATACAGTTTAAGGAAATGAAGGCTGTTTGTAAGTGTGGGTGCATGGACAACCTGCTTTGTCATAAGGTGTAACTAGGTAACTGATATGATATGCATAGTACTGAGTAGCAAATATGATTTCAGTTTAATGAGACTGTATTGTTGATGGAGAGGGGATATTGCACAGTGCTACATCACACCCTTACTATGTAAATATTCCAACCATTAACATAATTCTCTACTTTTCACTAGAAAGTTGATTCAAATGTCAAGAATGATATGCTGGTTTGTCTTTTCAACAATTTCTCATATAACTTCTCAAAACCTTATCCATCTTTCAAATTTCTGTTTGATCAACTGATCTTAAAGCGCAGCAAAATACCGGTAAATGTTCATTTTGTTAACAATAGTGCTTACAAACAATGTGTAACATCTGTATGATTTTGTACCATACATTAGTTTCATTGCAACACAGAAACCGATCCTCTCTGACACAAATGATATATCAACACATTATTTTCAAGAAACATTTAGAGTTTCTATCAAATTCCTTTGCAAACTGTCAATGATAAATAGATTTGGGTCACAAAACTTGTGTATACACGAATTCTCTGAATGGTATTTAGAAGTGGGTACTTTTAGATAACTGAGAAATGTGTAGGTATTTGACATAACTTCAGTTTAAGTGGTTGTGAAATTGCTACAGTAAAATATCATGTATAAACCCGACACTTTGCATCATGCAATAGTTCAATGGAGAATGTATTCTGTCTTCACGTCTTTCTGAATCTCAGAAGTTGGTTGTATAATACTCAGGGTCTGTGTCTTTCTTACCTGGTAGTTTAGCCAAATGTTTTTTTATGTATGTTTTGTGAATTGTTAAAAGGGTATGTGCATCAAGCCAAGTCCAGCTGGTTGGAAGTTGAATTAAGGGCTGGGAGTAGGAAAGATCTATCCATTTTGTTACAACAATGAAACACCATCAAACACTGTCACTTTGTTTTTGTATGGTTCACCTGTGCCAGAGGTTTTGTACTGTGTTGTTGACTGTCTGTTGATCCATAAACTTTGACGTTTTCAACTTCTCAGAAAACATTGTAGATCATGACTGACAGCAAAATGTTAGTCAACTGAAGCTGAATTCACATAAGATATTCTGAAAACACATTGAGTAAAAGCACTGTATTTTAGATGATCTTCAAAATGCTGACCTATTATGCATAAAGTCTGACATCACATTAATTTTTTACACCATATGAAAGCTCAATTATTGGCAAAAGTAAAACGATTTTGCGTTCTGTAAATGATGACACCTTGTTAATAACACCTTAAAGCAGTATTGAATATTTAAATTTGCATTGTTATTCTGTTGTGATATTGACATAAAATATGTCCTTCACCACATCTCTGATTCCTGTCAGTTGAGGTACAGTCTTGCGATACTGTTCTGGAACACCTATTACTATTACTATGAGGTCATATTTGAAGGCATCATCATAAAACCACAGAATTGTTTATTGTTTGCATGTGCTTTAGCTAGTCTCCCGAATATCTTGCCCTCCCCATGTATTTTTATAACACTACATATCACCACAGGCTAACTGAGTGTTACAGGTTATGATGCATGTATTTATACCAAGGATGAGTACCAGGAAGTGAGGAGCCCATGGCTAGGGAGCACTTCCTAGGTGTGATATGACTGTACCCATGTTCATATTCACAGAAATAAAGTATTGTCATACTTAAAGAAGTGTCAGTGTGTCATTTACTCTGCCAGAGAATCACGTTTGTGTCTCCACGACTGCAGGATGTGTTGTATGGACTTGGACAAGGGTTTACACTAGACTAAGGCTTAGTCTCAGAAAAGATATCATTTTGATAGAAAGAAACTACATTTCAATTCAAAAGGAGCCCCAGTGCTGTGGTATGTGGAAAATATAGACTTGCGCTTCGTTTAGAACTATAGCATTACAGTAAGTGCTGGCCTGGACAGAAGGGAAAAAAAAAGGTTCAGGCACTGTGAGACAGACAAGGGTTTACACCTGTGAGCTCTCTTGGCCGAAAGTTCAAGCTATGTCATGGCATATTTCTGTGATGTTTGTTAAGAACAACTGCTTCAGTTGAAAAAATGTTTTCATCCATTGGACCATATGATGTAACATTCACCATTATGATGTCATATCCTGACAGAACATTTTGCATTTTCCTTCTTCACTTCTTAGATATAACACTACCGAAAACGTTCCTCTTCTGCATCCGAGGTGCCCATTGCCCTTGGTTACCAATCAGTTGTTTCTCTTTCTCATGCACAAGAGGATATAGATAAATGTGACTTATTTTGGTAATGATTATATTCTTCGGTCTTATTCGTTCTTGAGGAAGGAAATGTGACAGTTACCTTCCTAGGAGGTTACTTCATAATATTCTGTGCGGAATCTTCACTTAGGAGACAAAACTACTGTGGTATCAACTCGACAGTTCATTTTATCTCCCTACCACCATGACGGCAAGAGAGCTTTGGTTTGAAACGGTGCTCTCATTGCAAGGGCTGACCCAGCATTTTTAAAATGGGGGGGTCCAAAATATCAATATCCTCTCTCAGATAGTTTTACTGCCTACCTGTCTACAACATTCTACATTTGGTTCCCCCCCCCCCCCAAAAAAAAAAAATAAAAAGGGAGGGGCATCCCCTAGAACCTTCCACTCCCCCTCCCCGCGTAACTACACATGGGTACAAAGGTCCACTATGTTAGAACATTCTGAAAAGGGGTCACAGGTAGTTGTAAATTATAACAAATATTACTAAAGGTCAACATTAAGATTCTGACAGTCTTGATTAGTTCAAAATAACGGTTCAAGACACTTAGCCTTTCAAAACAAAGTGGACAAATAACCCTCCATAGATATTTTATAATTTCAGATATGTTTTTATTTCATTGCAACCTGTGCATAGTTGCACTCATGGTCTGGACAAAATTGTTTCTTTAAAATCAGATAGCATCTTCCATTGTGGGGATCACAGGTTTTGGAAACAGTTTAAAAAAATACTGAACAATTATTATTTGCACAACAAACTTTTTAAAAATATTTTTTTCTTATTTTGAATGTGTACATCTTATGAACTAGTTAGGAATTACCCCCAGTAAATGATCGAAATTATGAATAAAATATCTACCCACCCTGAATTTGGAAGCGTCTTGTTCGCAGTCACATTGCCATTGACGAATTGACAAAAAACCCAGAAGACAGTCCAGTACTATGAAGCTGATCAGCATTAACTACCTGACCTGGTCAAACGTTGTACCATTGGAAAGTCACTGGTGTGAGGCTGAATACCGCTCTTTTGAGATGAAGACGAGTCCTCTTTGTACACATTACGTCTTGGAGACTTCATTTCTGTGGTAAGTCAATTTAATGATTTCAGGGCATTCAACGCCAGAATGTGACAGAAATTTATGTGACTAGATCACATGTGGCCATGAATCAGTGGTTCGTGTGTGTTTTGCTTTATGCGTGTGTAAGAGGCGCCTAACGGGATCGGGTGGTCAGGCTCGCTGACTTGGTCATCGTACGTGGATCGATGCTCATGATGTCAATCACTGGATTGTCTGGTCCAGACTCGATTATTTACAGATCACCGTCATATTGCTGGAATATTGCTGAGTGCGGCGTTAAACAACAAACAGACAAACATTACCCACAACAATTCCGATGTAACAAAACGATAAGGAGACAGAATGGCTGTAAAAATGTGAAAAACGTCAGACACGTTGAACAAAATACAAAAATGTGGATATCGCAACTCCGCAACAGTGCTGCCGTCACTCCCACAACTTGACACAGCCCGACACAGCTGAGAGCCCCGAGGTCGGCACAACCAGGTCGCGCGACCTGTACACAACTCGGCTTATCTCCTCACAACACTGACTGCCGGCACAGTGCCCCAATAACACAGATCGGACAACAGCGCACAGCAAAGAATGGCGGACACAAACGACAGGAAGGTCGCTATCGTAGGGAGGTAAGTATCCAGTCGGGGACAACAGTTGTCACAGTGGATTCACTACAATCTGGTGAAACCGATGTGAACTGATCACAAACAAAGACATCTTCGTTTTAACTCAAGCCAGTCTGCATGCCACGCGCGCAAAGAACGACAACTCTGTTTTCAGAGTCTTTGTTTCCCAACTCTCTGAAACAGAGCTGAGATCGAGTCAGGAGGCCTATATTTTAACCTTCGGATAGATGAAAACTAAGTCTTTCGAAGAACCCTTTTAAATATGCGATTGATATTGATTCTAATTAAGGGTAGGAAATCTCGACACTTTTCAGGGAAATGATGTCGTTACCTCACTTCCACTTGTTTCCGCCATAGATCATCATTATGACGTTCTACAAACGCAACAAAGCAAACCGGTGACGCCACTGAGACGAATGTTTGAGACAGTCATTCAAAAATATATAAAAACGGTTTTAATTCAACGTGGACTCTCTTACAATGTTAGTCAATCCGTTGTTAAGGACGAGTACCATTTTGTTGTAGTCTGTTCATTAAAGCAGTGACCATATAATCTATTATAATTATGGTGTCTGATAAAAGCAAAGTAGAAATACATTCATTCCACAATATTACCATAAACATCCTACAGAGATTAATTAAACTAACTGCCCCTACAACACATTCAACAATCAAAGGTCTTGCTTTGTAAGTGAAGAGAAATGTATGTAATATCAAATTTAAAAAAAACCAAACCCAAACAAATATAATTATGTATAATGTATACGTCACATATCATGGAATAATTGTGCATCATTTGTGTACTATCCACAAATAAATTAAATATAAATCTATTGTACTCCGGACCACGAGGCCTCCAATCCTGGAATAAAGAATCTTGAATCTCAAGTCAATCAGTTCCTTTATATAATAATGACGCTATTAACCAATCAGCATCTATATGTTCTCTTACAGTGGCCTGATTGGACGCATCTGGTCCATGATATTCACTGGTGCTGGGTACCGGGTGTCCATATACGACATTAGTCCGGAGCAGGTTAAAGGCGCTCTGGCCTCTATCCAGGAGTCCCTGGCCCGTTACGAGAAGCAGGGCAACCTCAGAGGCAAGTTGTCCGCCGCAGAACAAGCTCAGCTCGTCACCGGAAGTAGTAATCTGGCAGAGTGCATGCTGGGTGCCAGACACGTACAGGTACAATGACATTTACACCAGTTTTAAACAGTTTTAAATTAGTGTGTGTAAATTTGATATGGGTTACACATACATCTTTTCACATGTACAAATCAATTTACAACCTTGCCATGTTTCAATTTCAATCTTTAATTGTATAAGACACGTTGGTCTTGCTGCAGTAAGTTATATTACAAGTATCAAACATTGGTATGAAGGATTTCATTTTCACCAATGACTTAAGCACATTCATTACTGCTACATTTGTACTAATGATTAGCATACAAGTTTTGTGATTGATGTTTTTCGTGCTCAAAATGTTATATATTTTTTTAATCAATGTTAACGTTTATGAAACAACAGTCTCAAAGAATGACACACAACTCATGTTCTGATGGCGCTAGACGTAACACAAAATGCGTACTATTTGACATTCTGCCGGCAGATGGTTGATAATCCCAGCTGATGTTCATTGATTGTGGTAATATGTTTAAAGGAATGTGTTCCCGAAGATGTCAACCTCAAGAGGAAAGTGTTTGAGCAGATGGACCAGCATGCAACAGGCAACATGGTCCTTGCAAGCTCAAGCAGCTGCATCAAGTCTTCAGATTTTGCAGAAAATTTGAAGCACAGAGAGAATGTACTGATTGCACACCCGGTAAGGGAATATGGCTTTATGAGGACAACTCGGTTTTCCGATTCCTTGTTTCCCAACTCTCGGAGCCAGAGCTCCAACTTACAGAAACATTTATTTCCGACCATAATAACGTTACAATGAATCATTCAGTGTTGGATAAATTGTATGATTTGTTTCATAACTCGTAAAAGACACAATTTTTACCTTCAAAGTTTTATTCAGAGTTTCAAAGTCACAGGCCGATAAGGGGCGTAGGGTGGTTAAAACGTTCGCTCGTCACGCCAAGGACCCGGGTTCGATTCCCGACATGGGTACAATGTGTGAAGCCCATTTCTGGTAATATTGCTGGAATATTGCTAAAAGCAGCGTAACACCATACTCACTCACAGGCCGATACAATACAATTCTACAAGGTAAGGAAGACATATATCCGAAATAATTATAACAACACATGATAAGGGTTTACTTCCTCTGGCGTTTGTAACGTCTGCGATCTTTTTGTAGTTTGTCAACTATGGCAGTAGTCATCAATGTGCGAAATGCAAACTGATGAAATCACTGACTAGACTATGCAAATGACCACTTTAGGTGTTGTAGGTAAATCCCCCCTACTTCATCCCGCTGGTGGAGCTGATCCCCGCGCCATGGACGTCCCCGGAAGTGACCCAGAGGACCCGGGCTCTGCTGGAGGAAGTAGGACAGTCCCCAGTCACCCTCAACAAGGAGGTTCCAGGCTTTGCCCTCAACCGCATCCAGTACGCCATCATCAACGAATGCTGGGACATGGTCAAGGTGAGGGATCTGATGTCATCTCCAATTTGATTGACATTGTCAAAGTGAAGTATCTGATGTCACCTCCAATTTGATTGACATTGTCAAAGTAAAGTATCTGATGCCACCTCCAATTTGATTGACATTGTCAAAGTAAAGTATCTGATGCCACCTCCAATTTGATTGACATTGTCAAAGTAAAGTATCTGATGCCACCTCCAATTTGATCAAGTATGTCACCAATATAAAACATGGCCAAGGTAAGGGATCTGATGTTACCTCCAGTTTGATTGACATTGTCAAAGTAAAGTATCTGATGTCATCTCCAATTTGATCAAGTATGTCATCAGTACAAAACATGGCCAAGGTAAGGGATCTGATGTGATCATCAACTTTGTGCAGCATGCCATCATCAACCAATGTTTGCACGTGGTTCAGGTAAACACTTCGCTTTGATGCCATCCGCATTTGGTATGCCACCATTAACGATTGTTGGGGCATGGTGGTCTCTATACTGGTCATACCTTCTCGACAGAACGGCTTTTGTCTCAACTCTGTGAGATCACTATTATCATTTTCATATGTTGGGTGAGGTGAGGTAAAATGAGGTTTACCGTCGTGTTCAAAAGAATTGCACGTCTACAGCCATTATAGCGACGTGCGTGTAAGTGTGTGTATGGCTTCTTGTACGAACAAGTCTAGGGGTTATGTCGGTTGTGCTAGCCAAGTGAGATGCCATGTCATTTAACATGGGTAGCCCTCTCAGATACAGTAAACTGATTCCGAGACGACCAATCCTTATTTTATCCCCTTAATGCCGAGCACCAGGCAAGAACCATCTTTTAGCGTCTAATTTATCGCGACCGGGAGATCGAATACCGACCTTCCACGCTCTGGGCAGACGCTCTATCCAATACACCAGGGATGCGGTCTCTTCATATGCCGAAGTGCGACTTACTGTCATAAACTGTCACATTAAAACAAAGTTATCCCTTTAGGACAACTTACTCAATAAAGCCCTACGTCCATACCTTTCTATGTATGAGACGCCTGAATATCATGACAAGCACCTGCACCGCGGCCGCCATGTGGTGGATACAGCGTCTGACGGAAGATCGGTGGTCACACCAAAAGACATTAAAAGATAGTACTTGTTATTTCTGGCGCTCAGCATTAAAAGGATATAACAAGGAGTCAGTATAATGTGTCTGTGTAACATTGTTAAACATGGTGTCTCGATGGGGTAGACTATTAAACCGGCATTAGTCCGGACCAGTACAAGAAGCCACCGTCGCTATATAAATTCTATAATCTTAAACCTCATTTCGCCTCACCCCACACGTTTCTGTCCGTTTTCAGTCCGGGGTGCTGAGTCCAAGTGACATTGACCGAGTCATGTATGACGGGCTGGGGCCACGCTACGCCTTCATCGGACCCCTGGAGACAATGCACCTCAATGCTGATGGTAGGTACTTGGCGCATTTCAAAACAGTAGTGACGCCCACATTTCTGTTCATCCTGGTCTCAAACAGTGCAGTAACGTTGGGGACCGGGGTCATACGAAACCTCGAAAACACATTAAGGAATGGAAAGGAATACTGTCTAAATTCTTGAGAAATTCAAACTTCAAAGAAACACACGTGGGTATTAGTGTATGTTGTTTGCTATTTGACACAGCACTATTGCAGCTATATGAACAAGTCCGCGGCCTGTACAATATCTAGGCTGGACCAGACAAACGACTCACAGATACTATGAGGAACGTCAGGCATCCGGTGCGATGTCACTCCGTCAACCAAGTCACTGAGCCAGACCTCCCGATCCATTTAGTCGCCTCTTACGCCAAGCAAAGATGGCTGGGAACCTAGTCTAATCCAGAAATTCCATGGGGATTAGTGTATGGTAGCCAGTGATTTTGGCAGGGAATTCCAATTGCAGTCATACAATATTTACTGGATATTTCAAGACGATATTTACCAAGGTTTGTTAAAAGAGGCAAAGCGGACAATATTGGGCCTGGTAGCTCATGCATTCTTGATGTGTCTTCTTACCTCAGAGTGAGTGAGTGAGTTGGGTTTAACGCCGCTTTTAACAGTATTCCAGTTATATCACGGCGTGTCAGCTTAATGTGGGAGGAAAGCCCAAAGTGATGCAGGTCTCAAACGTTTACCATTTCGGTGAAACCCACGAGCACGGGTATGGTGCTGACAAACCTAGAAACATAATCGGGGCGAACCGGGATTCGAACCCATAATCATAGGTTTCTGGCGTGTCCAAGGGACGCAACTCTGCACAGCGAATCGTGGCGCCTTAGACGTCTTACCTCAGAAGTTGAGGGGATTTTTGGCATGCTCATAGAATGTGGTTATTAGTTTCATACCAAATATCTGATCACCATCTATGCAACATGTATGTGTCTTTTTGACAAAGGTATTTATTGTTTTTGGGGTGCCTGTCTTCGCAGGGGTGGTAGACTACTGCCATCGTTATGCTGCTGGTGCCTACAAGGTATGCGAGACGTTCACGCCGCCCCCGGTGTTGTACGACATCCCGACGGCAGAGACGGTACAGCAGGAGCTCAGCCAAACAATTCCACTTGAAGGCCTTGCTGACAGACGGAGATGGAGGGACGAACGCCTGGCCTCACTGGCCAAACTCAAGCGTGATCAGAACTAATACACCTGCACCATATTTGTGTGTCTGGGTGTGCCGTGTATATCCCGGGGCCCTTAGACTGGTTCCTGTTGGTGTCATTGTCAACCTTCCATGGTGGTCATATCGCAGGAACGAACGGGAACAAGTCTACCTGTGCCCTGTGCCTGTCTGTGTCGGATCCATGTCTATATAAACGTAGAATAATAACATGGTGTGGTCAAGAGGATTAGTTGGTAGGTAAAACGCCTATAACACACATACCTCTTGAAGCTATACCCAAATAGGCCATTTTCAATGATTATGAAATAAATGCGATAACTTAATTGGACGTTTGTAGAGTGAGTAAGTGAGAGAATTTGATTTTACGCCGCTTTTAGCAATATTCCTGCAATATCACGGCGGGGGACACCAGAGATGGGCTTCATACATTGTACCCATGTCGGGAATCGAACCAGGGTCTTCGGCGTGACGATCGAACGCTTCAACCAATAGGCTGCTCGATTGTCCTGTTTATAAAGTAGCAATATTGAAATACGTATGGCAAATAACAACTCCCAACTAATTACCTCTGCAATCATATTTAATAGTATTGTGTTAGTCCCGTATTTATCTTGTCTTAACGTTACACTACAACGATCTGATGGGCATGACCTCAAGAAGCCCGTATTAGCCCCCTAAATCGGCATCTTCATGGCCCTTGAGAGCTCCGTGCCTACTCATAAATTAAACATATTCCCATAGTTTCTCGCATCTGACACCAGTTATCATTTCCACGGCCATGTTGCTTCTACTTGTCGTTCAAGTCCCTCTTTAGTTTGGCCAGGCCGAGAAGTCTCCTATCCCGCCATTGTCGTCTGCTGTCCAGCTCAGACACCGGACCCGCCACCTGCTCCATCTCCGTCTGCACGCGCTCCATAGTGTCACCATCCATCACTTCCGGGTCACCGGCTGACCTCTGAACGCGAAGGATCATGTCCCGGTAACGTTCACAGTAGCTTAAAAAACCTGAAATGTGAAACGGGCAACACCATTTGTCTGACGGATCGATATAGTCCAACAACTAGTCTCTGAAATGAACATATGTATAGGATAAAACACGCCCGAGGGTTGTTATGATATTTAAAACCCGCATCCCGAGGGATTTTCCGAGGGAAAGGGTTTTAAATATCATAACAACCCGAGGGGAAGTGTTTTATCTTACTTATAAACCGAGAAAAGAAACTTATCAACATTTTTATGTTTCGAACATACTTTCCATGAACCTAAGGAAACGGGCGTAAAATATCTGTTGCTGGCGTACGGATCTTGAAAAGGACATTCTAAAAAGCAGCGCGGCTTAACAACACCTCTCTAACCTTGTGGTACACTCACTGGGCTACAGATATGAAGGTTGCGAGTTCGATCCTTGGGTATATAAAGAAAACATTTATCATTTGATTTTACATTACATGTTACAATCTGAACGGAAGTTATATTAATAAAATACCCAGGACATTATATAAAATCTCTGGGATATTATAACACATTATATACCAAATATGACTTAAATACCCCCCAAAATCCCGGGGATATTATATAAAATCCCAGGGACATTACAACATCCCTGTTTATGAGATTTAACCCGAATGGAGAACAATGGGATGACGTCACCGTACAGAAAAAAATAGTTGTTCAAGTATCTTATTAAAAATATAATAAAAGGAAGCCCAGCGACTCTCTCCTTTTTCAGATACTGCAGTAATCTAGACTTGCCAAACATTATAGGCTTGCATGGGCTGTATTTGATATATATTTGTATCAGGGTCTGTAAGACAGACTAGGATCGAAACAAACTTGGGAGATTGGCCAGGGTCTAAGATGCAGTAGGCATGTACAGTCACGGCTCAAGACATGCGTGTGACAAAGCATTTTGAAGACCATATTGCCGCAGCATGATCACGACCCTATCACGCACCACGTACACCTACATAGCCCACGTCACACTCGCGTAGTGTACCTACCCTCTGCGTTAAGATAAGCTGTTTCGAAAGGTCCAACAAAGGCATATCTCACACCAAGGCCGGACGACATCACGCGGTCGAAGTCAGCAACGCTAACAATGCCGTCCTGTAGGGAACATACAACATAAACCTATTACAATCTCACCATGCCGTCCTACAGGGAACATACAACATAAACCGATTACAATCTCACCATGCCGTCCTGTAGGGAACATACAACATAAACCGATTACAATCTCACCATGCCGTCCTGTAGGGAACATACAACATAAACCTATTACAATCTCACCATGCCGTCCTGTAGGGAACATACAACATAAACCGATTACAATCTCACCATGCCGTCCTGTAGGGAACATACAACATAAACCTATTACAATTTCACCATGCCGTCCTGTAGGGAACATACAACATAAACCTATTACAATCTCACCATGCCGTCCTGTAGGGAACATACAACATAAACCTATTACAATCTCACCATGCCGTCCTGTAGGGAACATACAACATAAACCGATTACAATCTCACCATGCCGTCCTGTAGGGAACATACAACATAAACCTATTACAATCTCACCATGCCGTCCTGTAGGGAACATACAACATAAACCTATTACAATCTCACCATGCCGTCCTACAGGGAACATACAACATAAACCTATTACAATCTCACCATGCCGTCCTGTAGGGAACATACAACATAAACCTATTACAATCTCACCATGCCGTCCTGTAGGGAACATACAACATAAACCTATTACAATCTTCCCATGCCGTCCTGTAGGGAACATACAACATAAACCTATTACAATTTCACCATGCCGTCCTTTAGGGAACATACAACATAAACCTATTACAATCTCACCATGCCGTCCTGTAGGGAACATACAACATAAACCTATTACAATCTCACCATGCCGTCCTGTAGGGAACATACAACATAAACCTATTACAATCTCACCATGCCGTCCTGTAGGGAACATACAACATAAACCTATTACAATCTCACCATGCCGTCCTTTAGGGAACATACAACATAAACCTATTACAATCTCACCATGCCGTCCTTTAGGGAACATACAACATAAACCGATTACAATCTCACCATGCCGTCCTGTAGGGAACATACAACATAAACCTATTACAATCTCACCATGCCGTCCTGTAGGGAACATACAACATAAACCTATTACAATCTCACCATGCCGTCCTGTAGGGAACATACAACATAAACCTATTACAATCTCACCATGCCGTCCTGTAGGGAACATACAACATAAACCTATTATAATCTCACCATGCCGTCCTGTAGGGAACATACAACATAAACCTATTATAATCTCACCATGCCGTCCTGTAGGGAACATACAACATAAACCTATTACAATCTCACCATGCCGTCCTGTAGGGAACATACAACATAAACCTATTACAATCTCACCATGCCGTCCTGTAGGGAACATACAACATAAACCTAATACAATCTCACCATGCCGTCCTGTAGGGAACATACAACATAAACCTATTACAATCTCACCATGCCGTCCTACAGGGAACATACAACATAAACCTATTACAATCTCACCATGCCGTCCTGTAGGGAACATACAACATAAACCTATTACAATCTCACCATGCCGTCCTACAGGGAACATACAACATAAACCTATTACAATCTCACCATGCCGTCCTGTAGGGAACATACAACATAAACCTATTACAATCTCACCATGCCGTCCTGTAGGGAACATACAACATAAACCTATTTCAATCTCACCATGCCGCCTTGATGTAATAAAAGCATGCCCTGTGTATGAATCTGATGTTGAAGACGGCTGTCATTTCAGAATTGTTGGAAAGAAACATCTAACACGAACGTTTCCAACTCGCTATATTAACACATAACAAATCTTCCTTATGTTGCAGACCCGTGTAAATCCTGACTAGAAGATAGGTCTTCAGCAACACATGCTTGCCATAACAGGCGACTTTGCTTGTCGCAAGAGGCGATGAACGGGATCGGGTGGTCAGGCTCGCTGACTCGGTTGATGCATGTCATCGTATCCTAGTTGCGTCGATCGATGCTCAAGATATCAGTCACTGGATTGTGTGGTCCAGACTCGATTATTTACTGACCGTCGTCATATAGCTGGACTTTTGTTGAGTACGGCGTTAAACAACAAACAAATCAGATGTTGTCGCGTGAAGTCGCCCTGCATGAATGTTCAACATGTCCTGGTGTACTATAGGAACCAACTTAAATGTCTGTATGTCCATATATAGAATTGTTGTAGTTGCATTTAAGGTCTGAAAATAGATTTGAATTTGACTTTCTCATACTGCCAGGTGTTTTTTAGCAAACCTTATAGTCACAGTTAGAAGAACAAACGTGTCTGTGAATAATATGCAATTCTGTCGGTGCACTGTTTTAGAGCCGACCATATAATATTCCGAAGTTGACATCAGGTTTAAAAATCATTGTTCGCTGATCATGCTGGTTGTCCTTGTGAAACAATTAAGAAATGGTCGACTCCATCTTTCAGTGAATTTCTTTTGTACGTCTTGAAGCAGTGACCGAAACACACATTCTGTCTTTAGCAAAACAATGGTGCCGTAATATGTTTACCATGATGCTAAGATTACCATAGTGACGAATGTGTTTACTCTAATGGTAACATTTCCAGGGTGTTGAGCTAACGTTTCCATGGTGACGTACCGTGTTTACCCTATTTCTAACATTTCCATGGTGACATAATGTCTTTACTCTAATGCTAAGGATTACCGTGGTGACGTAACGTATTTACCCTGATGCCAACCTTTCCATGGTGACGAATGTGTTTACTCCAATGCGAAGATTAGCATGGTGACCTATGGGGATGCTAACATTTCCATACTGACGAATGTGTTTACTCTAATTCTAAGGATTACCACGGTGACCTAATGTATTTACTCTGATACAAAATAGCATGTGATGTATATGGTATATGCTAATATATTTACCCTGATAAGACGCCACCCTTCCCCCATGATAGCGTACTGGATTCGGTTGAGGACGAAGCCGTCAATCTCCCGGTTGAGAACGATGGGGTCCTGACCGATGACGTCCATCAACGTCCTCGTCGTGGGCACGACGTCTTCGGCAGTCCAAGGGGCGGGGATAAGTTCCACCAACGGGGCATAGAAAGGTGGGTTGGTCTGTGTGGGGAACAGAAACATCAGATATAAGAAGACACTGGATACGTTATCTGTCCCGTAGGAAGATGTTGTCTTGAAGGATGGAGCGTTGGACTAAATATCAAGCCCTAAATTTGTTTGTTTATTGTTTAACACCGCACTCTGTAATATTCCAGGAAAATGACGGCGGTCTGTAAATAATCGAATCTGGATCATACAATCCAGTGGTTGACACCATGAGCATCGATTTCAATTGGGATACGATGACATGACCGTTAGTCGCCTCTTACGACAAGCTTGGGCTACAGTACCAACTCTTCATTGGGGCCATGCCCTAAAGAATTTGTTCACTTGGTTGAATTCCTCAAACATGCTGAGTTAATTGGATGGATCCTTACGGGATGAAATGAATGAAACGTGGCAACCTATTTTGTGGATAAATGCATTAAACAAGGTAACTTGGTTGAATGGATTGCATTTCTCCTATTGGTAGAATGTCTCGAACATGTTTTACAGGTTGAAATACATTGAATCCATTCGTGACCAACTCGTGTTATTCCGGGACAAGCCGAATAGCTTCTTGCAGTTTACGGAAAGGGGCGAGTGGTGACGAATGACAATGAATCCGTTTACTTGGTTGAATACATTGATCTTTAAAAAGGTTGTTCGTTGGTGGAATGCACTGAGCTTGTTTTAATGGCTGTTTGTCTATTGGGTGAAATGCATTGAGCACGTTTCAACGGGTTGATTATTGGATGGAAAGCACTGTGGTTGGGTAGGCTAGGTTATTGACCTCACATACCGGGTGGACGACGATGAACCTTGACCTGTTGGATAGTTTTTCGGAGATCAATGATGGTAGCAAGGCGCTGGTTGAGCTCGCCAGGATCACATCACCCGACACCAGACTGTCTAACTCGGCCCATACTTTCTGTTTGAGCTCTAGCCGCTCCGGGACACATTCCTGTGGCAATGGAGAAACATGACATATATCACTCGTCCTTTAGCGTTCCACGCGCAGCCATAACTCAGTTTCCCTTTCGCTATCTTTGCACAGCCATGTATCTCATTCGTCTTCACCATATACTAGTATCCAGGTCTATATTGTCCTTAAACACTTTCCATATGACCATACATGCGCCACCATATACTAGTATCCAGGTCTATGTTGTCCTTAAACACTTTCCATATGACCATACATGCGCCACCATATACTAGTACCCAGGTCTATATTGTCCTTAAACACTTTCCATATGACCATACATGCGCCACCATATACTAGTATCCAGGTCTATGTTGTCCTTAAACACTTTCCATATGACCATACATGCGCCACCATATACTAGTACCCAGGTCTATATTGTCCTTAAACACTTTCCATATGACCATACATGCGCCACCATATACTAGTATCCAGGTCTATGTTGTTCTTAAACACTTTCCATATGACCATACATGCGCCACCATATACTAGTACCCAGGTCTATATTGTCCTTAGACACTTTCCATATGACCATACATGCGCCACCATATACTAGTATCCAGGTCTATGTTGTTCTTAAACACTTTCCATATGACCATACATGCGCCACCATATACTAGTACCCAGGTCTATATTGTCCTTAGACACTTTCCATATGACCATACATGCGCCACCATGTACTAGTACCCAGGTCTATATTGTCCTTAAACATTTTCCATATGACCATATATTTCAGTTGTCCTTAAACGTTACATGCGCGGACACCATTTTTGATGGTGGCTAAAACTGAAACAAACAAGAAAAAGTTATGTGATGGTGATGTATGTGATATTGGTATCATCGTTGTGTTGGGGGACTTAAAGTTTGTAGTGTTTCAGTGACTGTTTTCAGCCTAATGACAATTTGATAACGTTTGTCATTTTTGCTCAAATCCAGTTTTCAAGCATATATACTTTTGCACGGCAGTTCATATCAATTACTCTTCAATAAACCTTACACGACCGTTTATGTCAGTTGTCATCAAACATAACTTGCGCATTGACTTAGCACACTTGTCCTGGGATAGATCTTGTCAGGATCTTCGGCTTACCTGGATGTAGAAGGCGCCTTGATACTTATAATAATAAATCTTAGCCTCTTAAGATGAATAGCCGCGAATAGCTGGAATATTGCTGATGTGGCTTAAAGCAACACTTACTCACTCTAAAGATGAAGAAGACTCTAACCAAAAAACCCGCCCCAGCCCCCTAAATATCAATAGTCCGCCCCTTACACATACCTTCCAGTTGTGATCTGACATTACTTATATATATTACATATTACACACCACATTTATATTGTCCTTACACTGATCTGGAAAGGATCATACCTGGATGTAGAAGGCGCCTTGAACGCAGTCCTTGACGGAGTCCACGGTCGAGATGCGGTCCCGCTGCTGCTGGGCACTGAGCGTCCCCCGGGGCAGCCCCTCCTCCTGCAGTTTGTCCAGCTGAACCCGGATGTCCCCAAGAGCCCGGGCCACCTGCTCCGGGTCCACGTCATATAGGCTCACTTCGTACCCCGCACAGGCGAACAGCATACACCAACTCCGTCCTATCAGGCCACTGTCAACACGAGACAAACTGACTGTAAACCACACACGCGAGACTGTATTTATTTGTTTGTTTGTAAAAGGCGACTATGCTTGTCGTAAGAGGCGACTAACGGGATCGGGTGGTCAGGCTCGCTGACTTGGTTGATGCATGTCATCGATCCCCATCGCGTGGATCGATGCTCATGATATCGATCACTGGATCGTATGGTCCAGACTCGATTATTTACAGATCGCCATCATATAGCTGGAATATTGCTGAGTGCGGCGTTAAACAAAAAAACAACCAACCAACCATTTCATTATCATGTTTATGTGTCGCGGAAAGAATGCCGATGGACGGACTGACAGGTGCCATCAACTGAACGTGTTTCGGCGGGTGGTATTTGTGTACACGATCCAATAAACAAAAAAAATCGGTAAGTTAGCGGTACAAATTCTGAGCAGGGAATAGAAAAATCACGATATTTTGAACTTCTGAAGACGCTAGCTCCCAAAGTACGGCTTCGATATTCATCGTCTATGTCTCATTGTGTAGCTAAATGAATTGGCTTGAAATAAGTGTGAGTTTTATAGGGGTATTTACAGTGGACATCGTTGAATTCGTCCCCGAACGAACTTGGTCAGTTGGCCTCGTTACATCCCTTTCCTTTTATGAAGTATACTGACACGGGGTGTGACCATGTATGTTGTAGCTGCTATATCTTGCGTTACAAGCCCATGTGCCTGCGACAGATAGCAGATCTTTCTACAATTCTTATTTTAACCGAGCTCGGGCTTAGGCATGGTCTTGACATTCCAGTAACAAGTGAGCAATGGATTCAGGTTGATTGCAAGATGGGCATAACTTGTCATAGTGTTTTTTGTTACCGAATCTGAGCCGTGAGATGGCAATTTCAACTTTCCTTCATTTAAGTATAAGTAAGGCTTTTGGTGGATCTTGGGTTGAATTTTGTATAGCCATCTGCCGATCTTACTTGCGTCCCACTGGGCTTGCCATCTTTGGGCTATGGAGGCTTTGAGTTTGCTTTTTATCTCTAATTTACTGAAGGGAATAGACCGTGTCTCCGCTTTGTCTAGAGCCAGCTTCGCGCGCGTGTGAGTACTTTCTCTTTTTTTTTATGAATATGAATGTGAGAGGGGATCCAACATAGCTCCACCTGTTGCCCTTGGTCCGATAGTTTTGTATATTCGTTTGGAATATTATTGACTGTGTCTGGTCTCGAGTTTGAGTTTCCACCGCTGATGGCTTGGAGCGCACTCAGCGAGTTTTATAGGATGACTGCCTTTGCTTCCAGTATGCGTTTGAATGCATGATTAATTGCCTCCAATTCAACAGTGAATATTGATTGACCATCAGGCAGGCGAACCGAATGTGCTTGAGGTTTGGAGCTGTGGATATGGATCCCGTAACCAGCACTGTTGTTGATAGTGTATATATGGGCCTAGCTGTGCCAGGTAGTTTGAATTTTAGTGATAGCTACTGATCGCAGTAGGATTGGGTTTTCCTTTTTCGGGACTTCTGATGTTAAAACAGTGTTAACTTTGGTATTTTGTAAAGTCCAGGGAGGGTGTAACCCTTGGTAGTGACTTTCTGGTGGCTGAATGTCATAAATTCGGATGAGTTCACGTACTAATATCCTGGATGGCTTCAGTGAGGGATACTTCCGAGCTAGTGCTTCATCTCGGGTGTTTTTCATTTGGACTTAACTGACTGTCGATTCGTAGCCGGATTTAAATCGCGTGATCAAAACTCAATGATGATTTGTTTTTCGGTAGTAAAATGGATGTTTCTTGAAAACCGCACTTTGAAATTTGTGTTATTAGTGTAAGTAATATTCCTTATCGGCCGAATGTCTTGTTTTCACTTTATAAGAATTAACACACATGCAACCACCTTCGTTAATTAATCATCGCGATATTTCATGATTCTAGTTCAAGTGGCTTTGCGACCTCGAGATCTGCCGCCTATATGTAGCTAGCGGCGTCTTCTACACATACTTAATTACTCGTAAATAATGATCTACGAGTACTCAATTTTCGTGTTTTCCTACCCGTTTCAACCTTAGCTATAGCCACCCAGTAGTATGTTCGTCTGTGATGTGTGCAACCCGTGTTAATGAGAAGCGTGAATGATGATACATCACAATACAGGCAGCGTTTCTCCAATCACAGATGGTCGATGTAGGTCATCTGGCCTGGTGGACCCACTACACCAGCTCGGATGACACGCTCGCACACACATGACTTGACATAACGGAGAGTAATATATCCATCTATCTGTCAGGATTGTAACCGTCTACCATGCACTGGAATGTTCGTTCAAATGTTTCAAACAAAACATGTGCATTGATGACGTAAGAATGTACAATGTTTGCATATCAAAATCGTATGAATTTGAAATGTGGAAAATTCAGGCAGGTTTTTTTTTCAGCCACAGAAACAACCACCCAAATGCGGTTCTGCAGTCATCAGCACCTCAAGAAATCATCCGTTGAGTGTAGTGTAGGGGATGTGATTCATGAGGCATTTGTACCCACTTTATTGAAAATGGCTATGTGAAAGGAGTTGGACGTTCCCAGATTATATTAATTTAATTCCAATAACTTGATTGTACAGAATATGTAAAGATACAGAAGTACAGGGAAAGATTTCCACCGGTGTTCCTGCTTCAAGTAACCTAGATTACGATAACCCTAACCCTAACCATACCTAAACTATTTTTAATACTTCTAGCCTGGTGTTATGATTTTTTACGACGGATGTCAACAAGTAAACATTGTTTCAAAACTACCGTGCGTTAATATCATAGCGCGTGTATGGTATAACAACGCGTGTCTATGGTATAAATGTAGTCAGTGAGAACAACAACGGATGTACAACATGTATCAACCAGGCCGACGTGCCCGTTAGTTGTGGTCACTGACGCCGAGACCCGTGAAGATCCGGGGTAGAACAGGTCTTCAGCAACGCATGCCTGTCGTTGAAGGCGACTAACGGAATCAGGTGGTCAGCTTGCTGACTTGGTTGATGCATGTCATCGTGTCCCAGTTATGAGGATCGATGCCCATGAAGTCAATCACTGGTTTGTGTGGTCCAGACTCGATTATTTACAGACCGCCGTCATATAGCTGGAATATTGCTGGGTTCGGCGTTAAACATCAAGCAAAGCAAAACACTGACGTCGAACTGATTGAAGCAGACGCTTGGGTATAATACTCAAGAACACTGTGTCACCTGACAAACTGATGTTAGCTGGGACAACGTGTCGCTGAAGCAGAGACTGATCCCCAAACCTCATCTGTACACCCCTAAACCATATCCCACCACCAATACAAACTACATCACCACCACATACAGAACCAGGCAAACCTACTACACACTGCACTCACCTGCCAATCACTGCGACTTTCTCCCGTCGGAGGGGCGTGCTGGTTGTGTCCGCCATGCTGTGTCGTCTGCTCAGCAAGCTGCGCTACATTCACTGCGCATAACACTCACGGCCGTCACAGAGTTAAGATAAACACACTGACTAGTAACGGTATACCACTACATGAACTAGTGCAGGAGATACGCGTGTGACATAGTGATGCAGTGATTTTCTTATATGAAGTAACGCGATGTATTCTAACGAAATTATTAATTGCTGAGAGGGCACAGTATGTGACATATGTTCAACATGTTCTTCGATGTCACTTAAAAGCTGAAAATGATTTGGAATGAATCCCACCCGTTTTTGATCGAGTTTTAGATCATCTAACAAATAAAGGTTGTAATATCCCTGAACATAATGATTGGGCAACCCCTATAGGGCCTCAAGTTCATGATGAACGGACAGAGGCATGTCGTCATGGGCACGAGGTGCTTGGAAACCTGGGTTTGGATGTATCGTGTCAGAATCGTTGCACATTTGTTTGCTGGTTTGTTTGTTGTTTAACGCAGCAATATTCCAGCTATATGAGTCTATAAATAATCGAGTCTGGACAAGACACTCCAGTGATTGACATCTTGAGCATCGATCCACGTAAATGATGACATGCATCAACAAAGTCAACGGGCCTGACCACCCAATCCCGTTAGTCGCCTCTTACGACAAGCATAGTCGCTTTTTTCTACAACAAGAATGGGTTGCTGAAGACCTATTCTACCCCGAATCTTCACGGGTCTCTTCATCGGAGAGCACAAAAACATTTGCTACTAAGGATTGCAACAACTGAATGCACTTATGCCCCCTCAAAGTCAAATACGATCGAAGAATTAGGCAGATGCATAAGCATACTTGTTTGACTGGTTCTCGTCGCGAATGGCTCAAATATTGCTGATGCGTCGTAAAGCAATATTTACTCATTCATTCCTTTCCTGGAAAACATGTTCCATCTCTGTATTTGACGTATGTTCCAAGACATACGGGTAAAATCCGTTATGGCGTCATCACATAAAAAGGCGATGTTGTTATCTGAATGTTCGGCGCCATCTGTTGGAGAATACTATTCCTCGAGGCAGTGACTGAAAATATATTCTGGTGTCGTAGTATGTTTATCCTAATGCTACGATTTCCATGGGAACGAAGTATATGTATACCCTAATGCTACGATTACCATGGGGACGAAGTATGTTTACCCTAATACAACGATTACCATGGGGACGAAGTATGTTTACCCAAATGCTACGATTACCATGGGAACGTAGGATATTTACCCTAATCCTAAGATTCCCTAAGGCCAGGGCCCCGTTCCACCAAGCAACTGTGGTGCTAAGATCTTCGTAACTTTCATACTTTAGCATAGGCTTATGATCGCCGAGGCGCTAAGATCGCTTTGTGGAACAGAGTACTGACCACGAGATTACCATGGGGACCAAATGTTTGTCGTTGAACACCGCACTCAGCAATATTCCAGCTATATTATGTCTGGAATTAATCGAGTCTTGATCAGACAATCCAATGATTGACATCATGGACATCGCTCCACGCAATCGGGATACGATGACATGTATCAAGTCAGCTAGCTTGACCACCCGATACATGTTGTCGTCTCTCAGGGCAAACATAGGTTGCTGGGGACCTATACTCTTACCCGCATGGTTACCTAATGCGTTTACCCTGTTGCCAAACTAATCTGGTGATTTACTATTATTATCTTAATGTGCCGCCAGCCTTCCCCAAGATGGCAAACTGGATTCGGTTGATGACGAAGCCGTCAATATCCCGGTTGAGAATGATGGGGTCCTGACCGATGACGTCCATCAACGTCCTCGTCGTGGGAACGACGTCTTCGGCAAACCAAGGGGCGGGGATGAGTTCCACCAACGGGGCATAGAAAGGTGGGTTGGACTGTGCAGGTGCAGACAGCTGTGGTATAGGATGTATCCCGACTGACACTGGGCAGCGGCGTTAGGAATGGTACATTATTAGACCTTATGACTGACGTAGCGTGCGTACTAGATTACACTGGAGGAGGGACTTGGGGCTTCTCGGCAGTAATGCTTACAAGTGTCTTATAAACCTACTGGCTGTTTGTGTAACTCGATATGGAGTCTTTGAAATTGTGGTAACACCTCGTAGGAGGTATTACAATCATTGTAAACCCTTGACAGAACAAAAACTACGAGCAGCCTACGAGACGCACGTGCAGATTTCGTGCCATTAAAAGACGCACGTGCTGATTTCGCACCGTTGCGTAACCCACGTGCTGAGGTCACCGGTTTCATTGAACCGAGTTCACGACTGCAGGCGATATTTCATCACCGATACAGGTTATACATTTGAGAGTTTTTATTACAGTTATTTTTTTTTTTTAATTAAAAACGGTGTCTATGCGATGTGTCGGTTTATGAGTTGGACAAACCATGCCTCCTCGAGATTACTAGAGATTGTAAAAACTCACATTCGGGAACGTCCCTCATGTGAGGGTTTACAATCTCTAGTAATCCCTCGGAGACATGGTTTCTCCTACACTGAACATGGGCTGAACCCTGAACCATGTGGAAACATGACACTGCCTTATTTGGGTGGCATATTTGAACGTGTTTGGTGGTTGCAGTGCCTTGAATGTGTTTAATGGTCTGAATGCATTAAATGTGTTTACTGGTCTGAATGCATTGAATGTGTTTTCTGGGTGGAATGCAATGAACGCGTTTATTGAGTGGAATACATTGAATTTGTTTACAGAGTTGACTGTAAAGAAATTGTTTGCTTGTTGGAATGCACTGAATTATCGTGCTGTACTAAATGTATTGAACATACTGAATAGTGGCATTTGTTTACTGAAAGGAATACATTGATTATGTGGTCTGGTGGAAATCATTGAACGTTTTCTGGGTAGAATGCATTGAACGTGTTTACTCGGTGCTATGTAATGAACGTGTTTACTCGGTGCTATGTAATGAACGTGTTTACTCGGTGCTGTGTAATGAACGTGTTTACTCGGTGCTGTGTAATGAACGTGTTTACTCGGTGCTGTGCATTGAACGTGTTTACTCGGTGCTGTGTAATGAACGTGTTTACTCGGTGCTGTGTAATGAACGTGTTTACTCTGTGCTGTGTAATGAACGTGTTTACTCGGTGCTGTGTAATGAACGTGTTTACTCTGTGCTGTGTAATGAACGTGTTTACTCGGTGCTGTGTAATGAACGTGTTTACTCTGTGCTGTGTAATGAACGTGTTTACTCTGTGCTGTGTAATGAACGTGTTTACTCTGTGCTGTGTAATGAACGTGTTTACTCTGTGCTGTGTAATGAACGTGTTTACTCGGTGCTGTGTAATGAACGTGTTTACTCGGTGCTGTGCATTGAACGTGTTTACTCTGTGCTGTGTAATGAACGTGTTTACTCGGTGCTGTGCATTGAACGTGTTTACTCGGTGCTATGTAATGAACGTGTTTACTCGGTGCTGTGTAATGAACGTGTTTACTCGGTGCTGTGTAATGAACGTGTTTACTCTGTGCTGTGTAATGAACGTGTTTACTCTGTGCTGTGTAATGAACGTGTTTACTCGGTGCTATGTAATGAACGTGTTTACTCGGTGCTATGTAATGAACGTGTTTACTCGGTGCTATGTAATGAACGTGTTTACTCGGTGCTGTGTAATGAACGTGTTTACTCGGTTCTATGTAATGAACGTGTTTACTCGGTGCTATGTAATGAACGTGTTTACTCTGTGCTGTGCATTGAACGTGTTTACTCGGTGCTGTGCATTGAACGTGTTAACTCGGTGCTGTGTAATGAACGTGTTTACTCGGTGCTGTGTAATGAACGTGTTTACTTGGTGCTGTGTAATGAACGTGTTTACTCGGTGCTGTGTAATGAACGTGTTTACTCTGTGCTGTGTAATGAACGTGTTTACTCGGTGCTGTGTAATGAACGTGTTTACTCGGTGCTGTGTAATGAACGTGTTTTGTGGGTGCTATGTAATGAACGTGTTTACTCGGTGCTGTGCATTGAACGTGTTTACTCTGTGCTGTGTAATGAACGTGTTTACTCTGTGCTGTGTAATGAACGTGTTTACTCGGTGCTGTGTAATGAACGTGTTTACTCGGTGCTGTGTAATGAACGTGTTTACTCGGTGCTGTGTAATGAACGTGTTTACTCTGTGCTGTGTAATGAACGTGTTTACTCTGTGCTGTGTAATGAACGTGTTTACTCGGTGCTGTGTAATGAACGTGTTTACTCGGTGCTGTGTAATGAACGTGTTTACTCGGTGCTGTGTAATGAACGTGTTTACTCTGTGCTGTGTAATGAACGTGTTTACTCGGTGCTGTGTAATGAACGTGTTTACTCGGTGCTATGTAATGGACGTGTTTACTCGGTGCTGTGCATTGAACGTGTTTACTCGGTGCTGTGTAATGAACGTGTTAACTCGGTGCTGTGTAATGAACGTGTTTACTCGGTGCTGTGTAATGAACGTGTTTACTCGGTGCTGTGTAATGAACGTGTTTACTCGGTGCTGTGTAATGAACGTGTTTACTCTGTGCTGTGTAATGAACGTGTTTACTCTGTGCTGTGTAATGAACGTGTTTACTCGGTGCTGTGTAATGAACGTGTTTACTCGGTGCTGTGTAATGAACGTTTTTACTCGGTGCTATGTAATGAACGTGTTTACTCTGTGCTGTGTAATGAACGTGTTTACTCGGTGCTGTGTAATGAACGTGTTTACTCGGTGCTGTGTAATGAAAGTTTTTACTCGGTGCTGTGTAATGAACGTGTTTACTCTGTGATGTGCATTGAACGTGTTTACTCTGTGCTGTGTAATGAACGTGTTTACTCGGTGCTATGTAATGAACGTGTTTACTCGGTGCTGTGTAATGAACGTGTTTACTCGGTGCTGTGTAATGAACGTGTTTACTCTGTGCTGTGTAATGAACGTGTTTACTCGGTGCTGTGTAATGAACGTGTTTGGTGGGTGTTATGCATTGAACGTATTTACTGAGAGGAATGCAATAACGCGTTTTCTTGGTGGTATGTAATGAACGTGTTTAGTGGGTGTTATGTAATGAACGTGTTTAGTGGGTGTTATG